TACCGCTCTCTTTTTGGGCCGTAGTATTTTGATTTATTTTGCAAGTAAAGCTCCGTACTTTTGAAGGATGCCTGCCATTCCTAAAATGTTGGAGCGCCTTCAATTTCGTGTGATACTGTGCAATACCTCTGGTGTGTAATAGTTGCCATAAGCGCCGTGGTACGCAGCGGTGCGGTGCGGCGCGGCGGGAGGGCAGAGAGTGCGGAACGCGCATTGGCGCCTACAAACCTAACAGGGATACTTCACGCATTGCGCAATGCGTGAAGTATCCCTGTTAGGTTTGTAGGCTTCGGTGCGCCGCTGCTCCGCTTTGTGTTAGGCTCTAATATTTAATCTCGTGGAGTCAGCGTTTTTAAACTCATTACTTTAAAATGTTTGCACACTCTGTATGGATTATTCTCATTTTAGTTGATGGAAAAAAATACGTAGTAAAGGAAAATAATTTTTTACCAGGGATTTGACGAGAAGGCTCGGGGAAGTGGGTTTTCCGTGTGATTGGCCGCAAGAAATTCGACTTTGATGATCTTGTGGTGCCCCGAGGATTCACTGATGAGGTAGAGCGGGACTCGAAACTTTTCGATAACTAAGCAAAAAAGCAATGTTGGAGACTCGAACACCACAACGGCCACACATATCGACTACATTTTGCAATTTGGAACTATAAATTCTAGCCTAGTTTAAAAGCAACGTATATGCCATTAGTTTCCCTATGCACATAAGTGTTTTTCCTAGAGAGTCAGAATTTATAGTTCCAAATTGCAAAATGTAGCCCAATTACTATCCTCCTCCAGAAACATGAAAATGATTCGTATACTTCAGTTGGGATTTTTATCGGCGCGGCGTGAGAGGAATCAGTATAGGAAGAAAAAACTTGTGAAAAATCAAAATTTGGAAAAGAGAGGGAATAACAGAAGGAACATCATCAGAAAAAAGTGGAGGAGAAATGAACAGTATGAAGAAAATGGGGGGGGGATAAAAAAAAAGAAAAAAGATAAAAGAGGAAAACAATAAGAAAAAAATAAAAGAAAAAAACAGAAATTAAGTAAAAAAAAAGGATTAAAAAGTAGGAGGAGAAAGGAAAAGAAATACGAGAGAAAACTATGAGGATCTCCATTTCGAGGAACCAAAAACGGCCAAAATATGGGCATTCGTTGCGCGACGCTTTTGAATAGCTATTTAAATAGGTTGAATCGCAAACTCTCCATATTCGCTGGAACCCCACCATCGAACGCAAAAAAGACACCCGTACCAGCGTGCCTCCCCAAGAGCGATGCGACTTTTCCTCTTTCCAGACTTAGGTAATTTATTCATTTTCTTGAATTTTCCACCGGTAAAACGCTGCCTTTGCGTGCGCTGTACGATCTGTCAATTGGCCTTGCTGTGCACCAGGCTTGCCCTTTCACACAAATAATGTCAGTGTTTGTGAGACACGCTCCCTAGAATTTCGTCTGCTTTTTCATGAGCGTGTCACGGTGAAAAACTACCACCGTCTACCATAAACAAGCATAAAGGTATCGAAGGTACTTGTAATCCTCATATTTCACGTAAGAAACCCATTATCAGATGGCAATTTAGTTTGTTTGAGGGACAAAATATTTAAATTAAAAAAAAGGAACCTCTAGCGAGACTCATGAGTCATGATGCCGACAAGAGGGACGATACGGTGAATTGAAGGACATTACACAGTTAAAAATGCTCGTTTAGAGTGACATAAAAATACGCAACTAATCATAGAGTACAAACCTATGTCGAGAATAGGGAAACAGCTTGCCGTCATACATCAGATATGAACAAAATATTAATTTATTTAAATAGGTGTTTATGTTTATAAATTGATATTTAGAATTCTTTCTGTTTGGTAAAAAGCTCTTGTGTCTGTCTCGATTCCCGAGTGCGCTCGTCAAGCGTAGGTACCAATTCATGATGATGCCCAGGGTCGGATTTATGGGGTGGCCACATGGACCGCGGCCCATGGCGGCAAATTTTGAAATTTTTTTCAATGTTGGTATAAAAAAATCGGATTCAGAAAAAAATTACAAACAAGTAAAGAAGACAAAATCTCTTATTTCTTGAGAGTACCTACAGTAATTTCTAATTTTGTCGTCTTTCGGTGATACAAGAGACAGCATCTTTAGATCGTCGAGTGACGAGAGAAACCAAACACGCAATTTTGGCCTGGAACGGCGTGGCGCAAAGAGCAATGATGACGAGGACTTGGGATGAAAAGGAGAAGCCCTCGTCGCGACGGTCGGCATGTAACACATGTTAGCGCCTACAAGACTGCATGAATACTTCACGCATTGCGTCAAACACAGTGCGTCCGTCCAGCAGCGGGCGGCGTGAAACGCATAGCGCCTACAAGACTGAAAGAATACTTCGTGCATTGCGCCAAACACAGTGTGGTCAACGCGGCGCAGCGGCAGAAGTTAAAATTATTTAACCACAATTATGTTGGTTCTTTCATAATTTTTTCGTTCAATACTTATGAATGGAAGGCTTTGTCCACATAGAGATAGGTTTACGGAACTTACTTTCGCGGAAAGCTCCGTGAACTTTTGCTAGTAGTGTTGACAGGGCTTTTGCAAAAAATGTGTCCAACTGTCCAACACGGGTAAACGCGTCTTATGCACCCCTCCCCCTCCGGCATGTTCACTAGATGGTTTTTATTGATGTTTCAAAACGAATGAGATAGGGGGCGGCAAAATACAGGCGGCCAATGGGCGGCAAGTAAGTAAATCCGGCCGTGATGATACCACTATTCGACCACGTGGGAGCTCGTTAGATTGAATTGCGAATAAAATCCTCTGAAAAATTGGAAGAAAAGTATACTCACAAATTTTCCTACAAATTTGTATTTTACCGAGGGAAATTTGGCGACCCTGGTAAACATTGACAGTAGAATCTGTGTTCCAAAATACCATAGACCTACAGCCGGCTGTAAGATTTCCAATAGCTTCCATAGCCGGCTATAATAGCTTTTTATAGCCGATGGCGATTAAGCAACAGCCAGGCAATAAAGTGTATGCTGAACGTTACTAATTACGGATGCTAGGACCAAGTGAGTTTTTGGACTACCAAAAACTCAAGGGTTTTTGGTTTTTGGTGTCTTTTTGGGCCGTAGTATCTTGATTTATTTTGCACGGAAAGCTCCGTACTTCTGATGGATGGCTGCCATTCCTAATATGTTGGAGCGCCTTCAATTTCGTATGATACTGTGTGTGAAATAGTTGCTTCAAGCGCCGTGGCACACTGCGGCGCGGCGGCGGGCGGAAAGCCAGCACGAAACGCGCATTGGCGCCTACAAACCTAACAGGGATACTTCACGCATTGCGCAATGCGTGAAGTATCCCCGTTAGGTTTGTAGGCGCCAGTGCGTCGCCGCTTCGCTTTGTGTCAGACTGTAATATTTAACCCTGCGGAGTCAGCGTTTTCAACTCATGATTTTGAAATGTTTGCACACTCTGAATGGATTATTCTCACTTTAATTGATGAAAAAAAATATGTATTGAAGGAAAATATAATGTTTGTTTTGTAAATATTAAGGTGATTCCGAACGAACTTAAGGATTTACAAAGCACACGAATTTCTACACAATTTCTTATAGCCTTTTATAGCCGATGGCCAAAAAGCAACAGCCAGGCGATAAACTGTACAGTCCGGCGATAGGAACTATAGCCCGACTGTATACTTTTTTATCGCTTCGTATAGCCCGGCTAAATGATTCGCTCCGCTTTCTACAGCCAGCTATATGATTTTATATGGCCTTCTTTAGCCTGCTATAAGAATTCCTATGGTATTTTGACACGCAGCTCCTATCGCTAATTTTTACCAGGGAACGCCTGATGGCTCATTCGACGTTTTTCCTTGGAACGGAAGTATGCGCAGAGATCATTGAGACTACAGGTTGCAATTAGAAACTGGAATTTTTGGCTCATCTATAAAAACGCTTACATGTGCACAGGGAAACTACCCAACTAGCAGTGATCGCGCTAAGTTGCGTTTTGATCAGAGAATGTATCGCGATTTCATCGACGGCGATTTATTGTAATATTATCGGATAAAAAATCGCGATTTCATCGCACAAATTTGCAATAAAATCGCAACTTTATCAACGGCGATTTATCGCAATATTATCGAATGAAAAACCGTGATAAATTGAGATGAAATTTCGATTTAATCGAACGCGATTTTACAGAGATAAAATTGCAACAGCATCGGGATCGGTCCGATGTTAATGACCGTAGCGATTTTATCGCTAAAAAATCATAAAAAATCGCAATTTTCCCGTTGAAAAATGCTACTCGGGTAATGATACATACGTTGCTTCTAGATTGAGCTAAAAATTGTAGTTCCTAATCGCAAAATGTAGTCCATTTCCGAGTATTGCGCAATTCATTGGAAAGGGTCTGGGCTAAGCATATCGATGTGTAAGAATAAGGGGTGGGGTATTAAATCGGAGACAAATTTGACATAACGTAAAGTAATGTCTACTTTACGTACACCTTGGATTAATTTACAATCCAGACTTTAGAGAATTTAAAGTTTTAACTTTAAAGTTCGGAGGATTTTATTTGGTCTTCACAGGTTTTTCGGTTAAGGTCATCCAATGGTAATGTAGGAATACAGAGAGGCCATACGGCGAGGGTCACTTTACTTTCCAACTCTCAATAAGTCGGAGTAAGAAGACATGAAAATATGTTTCTATCAATGGGATTGGAAAAAAGAGTATGAATAGACAAATATACACATGTCTTGATACTTCTTAGAGTCGGAATAAAAACCTACCGATTTGACACTCTTTTTTTATCGCTACAGAACGAAGGGTAATCACACAAGAACACAGAAAATAATTTTATCAACCTAGAGATTTGACTGCAGATGGACCTCTTTTGTGTAAGCATATTCAATTATTATGCTCCGAAGTTTGAAATTCATACTTTTAGGACAAACTTAGGGTTCTGTGTCTTACTAAATTAAGGGAAAAATGAAAAAGAATTTTCTATATTAAAAATTGTTACTTTATTTTTTAGTGCAAATGAAAAAATTTCCTACAGGTTCACAGAAAGTGTTTTCAAAGAAGATCGGAATGAAATCGGTACACACATCGGACAAATTTGATATGATCTGGAAATGGATGAAATCACCGAGAAACCCCTTCTTGAAACACCCTGCACTTAAATACGCTCTTGTATATTCAAGCGACATTCAACATAATAAAATACTAAACTGACAATGAATGAAACAAATATACATGAACTTGCGAGACCAATAGCGAGTAAATCATAGCTTCAGTCTCATCCAAACATGGTAAGGCTACTTGCATTCTCCTGAATAGTCGTTGAAACCTGATATTTTCCACCCTCTTGTACTACATAACTTATAAAGCTGAATAGGACACTTGATTCAACTTCAGACACACTCTTAATTAGAAGTCAGTTGTAGGAGAGAAATCATCCATGAAATCAAATCATATGAATGCTCTTTCTTTCGCATGGTCATTAAATTTTCTTGTTTCAGCTTACGAACAAATGAATTTTGGTAAAGAACATATTTTCATTTTTAGACAATGTAGGATCTTTCAATTTGTCAAAGGATTGAAAGGTCAGCATCAGCCCTCAGAATGACACACATTTGAACTCTCCTTGGTTACTTTTACAAATTTTATTTCTGGCCTTTGAGAATACTTGCAAGTCACAATTTCAATGTACTTGATTAGTATAATTAAACCGATATTTGATATCGGTGAATTATGGCAACTTTCAGACTAAATATTTTGAAGCAAAATAATTTCTGAATATGATTATCGCAGAGATAAATACAAAGTTTAATCAGGCACTTTTTCACATGCTTAGGTAGGTGGTAAAACTACGGAGAGTAACATAGCTTTGTACACTGAGAATTGGAGTTAATTTGAAGAAGCCGTGCAAACTTTAAGAACTCAATGAAAATATTACAAAGAGAACTGGACAATTGTTTTCATCAATAAATTCAAGAGTAACAAGGGTATCTGATGGATGAATTCGGAAATAATGTATCTCAGTTTAGGACATTGCAGATTCCTCTTCATTTTTTTTGTATAATTGGAAAACTAATCGACATAATTATTTTGTATTAAGATCCATTAGACACTAGCTTCAGCTGTCTAATTACCATACCTTTATACAAATGCACTCCTTCCAATTTAGGGTGAGGTAGCTGTCCGGCCCCATTCCATCTTGTAAGAAACTAATAAAATATATGATTCCAACCAAAAAAAACAAAAAAAAATTGTTTTGCTAATTCTCAAATTTTCTTCTCTATTTGAAAAATACTCAGTGAAAGTTTCACACAGGAAAATTGGCTCGTTTCCCATCTAGAAAATTAAACAGGTGCGGATATTTTGAAGAACCAGAAGCAAGATACATCATTTTGAAGTTTAGTCACAGCTTTTTAACCTTTGATCTTAGTCGATAGAAAAGAAATTTTGCGTATTGGATAGTAAAAAAATTACAGAAACACAAAAAAGGGCACAAATTTAGAGTGAAAAAAAGGTGACTTATCACTCATATATTTCAAAAACAGGAAAGCATAGGAGTGGATGTCACATTAAAAAATGAAAAAACAGGAGTTATTTTGATTAATAACGTGACGAGCCTTAATCTGTCTTCAAGCGGTCTCAATAGTTGATAAGATTTTGCTATCTGAATGCATTAAATCAAGGGGTTGAATTCTGAGTGTGGTTTCTAATTCCTAATGATTTTGGCACAGAATAATTTTTGAAAAAGAGAAAAATTTTCTATGACAGTTTTTGGATTTTCATTAATCATAATTATTGTTCTTGAGACTTTTCTGTCGTATGTTGATAAGAAGAAAAAGGAAAATAGAATGAGATATTTCTTTAAAACGTAAAATATATTGGCAATAGTGATGACCGTTGGGTAAAAGTATTGGCTCTTAAGTTCAGCATCAAGCAGAGAATAATATCTTGTTAAAACGTTATTTTAGGTGAAGATTCCTTTCATTGAAAGTAAGAAAGGACCACAGGGAGTAAAATGTTATACACTACTAAAAAAAAAAAAAAAAAAAAAAAAAAAAAAAAGCTTTGAGCAAGAGAAGTTATGAACACCCAATTTGATAAAACACTCATCCACCTTTCCACATATGTTCACTTCATGAAGAGAAATTTTAAAAATAGCGGCTGTTCTTGCATTCTTTCCCATTTATTTAATCAAATGGATTTTTGAAGGATACAATCGCCAATGGTGATGATTTTGTAACCTACTATTTCTCGTAAAAAATCTCTATGGATACACACTGGAAGATCCATTTCTTCAAGTTTCACAGGTAAGTCTATTAAATTTACAACACTGATGTTTTGAAGAATTCTAAAAATTGTTCTAATTGATGTTTTGAAGTAATTGAGCAAAAACTGCTACTTTGGAAACTAAAACTATACTATGATGCAAAGACATATGTAGAGCTGCAAGAATGCATTTTTGGGGTAAAAATCAAACAGATTTTTGGGGTTTTCTTACTTTGAATATTTTAAGTGATATAATTTCTGAGATACAAGTTTTTTGACAAACATGTAAGAGTCATGGCTACTTGGAGTTCTTACTAAAATTATTATGGTGCTGAGGGAATAGATAGCTTGCAATATACACTACTACAACGAATAGTGCAGGAAACTATCAGCCCCAAATCCAATTATATCTTTCACTATTTCTTTTTTGGTATCCTACAAATCTGAATCAGATATGCAGAACCATAAAATGAATTAAGGAATTACTAGGCTGGAGTTTTTTCAGGTAGACCATGGTTTAAAAAAAATAAATTAATAAATAAAAAAGAAAAAGAAAAAAATATGGACAGAGAGATGGTGCTATAGCTCTGATTTCTTAATTTCAATAATAAGCTAAAATTCTCATGATGAATAAGAAACTTTACGATTTCTCTGCCTTCAGGATTTGTCCATCAACAGTCTAAAAAGGCAGGGCTACAAAAGTATAATATGATACAGGTTTGGGTTTGCATTATGAGTGAATTACAAGGAGGAGGGGATGGAAAGCAGTGTATTGTGAAAAACTTGAATATTTGTGTGGGTGGTTTTTCATTGAAGATATTTTTTGATCAAATGTGGGAGAGTATATTCAGAAAGCAATTTTTGATAAACATAAAACTCACCAGTCGCGGAATTTTTCTATCAATGTATATATAATGAAAGAACATTCCTTAACACAAATAACTTGCACTAGAAACTGGAGAGTTTGTCGCTTTGTACAGAAAGAAAAAGGAACTAACAGAGGGGGATACAAATCATCCAAAGTTGTCATGCATTTGTAGATTTGAGAAGGCACCACAAATACTTCAGTTAAAAAGATAATTAAGAGCCCCTACTTTTATTCCAATTAATTTGTAAAAAAACATATTGTTATTGGTCATTTGTTAAATAAACTGAAAATAATGTCAAATGGCACCTTGAAGTACTTCTATTTGCACACGAAGAATTGCATTTGAATGTTTTAATACATTTTTCCTATTCAAGACAAAAATTTAAAAGAATGAATAAATTAAATAAAAAATTATAAAAAACAAACAAACAAATTTAAAAAAAGGACAAAATCATGCCTCAATACATTTTCATAAAAGAACCTAATTGTAAGAATCTAATTACCTTTAATACCTAAAGTAAGATAGTACGGGTATGACCAGTAATTTTGCAGACATATCACAAATACAGTTATTCTTGAAAATAGAAGAGAATTAATATGGTATGAAGGTTTCCAGAAAAAGTCATCAAATATTCACTTATCACTTTCGGCCGAAACATGAGAAAAGCCATTTATGCCTAGATGCTATGTTACCGGATACCTCTATATTGTTTTAATTTATTCTATAAAACTTCTGCACATACTTTCATGAAAATTTCAGGGCATAATCTTGATGACAAAAGAAATATTAGTTGGACTTTCTAGGGATTTCGGTCATTAGTTTTTCTGTGGATTTTCGACAAAATTGAGAAGTTTTGCAATAATTAGTGTCTAGACACAAAAACCGCTTGAGATATTTAGGTCAGAAGGTGACAAGATATACTTCAACACTAGCGCACACTTAATTTTAGTTTTTTTGTTTTGTTTTTTTTTTTTTTTTTTTTTTTTTTTTTTACCAAAACGATGTCACAGAAACAGAGATTATTTCGTTTATTTTCCATTGATTCTTTTACAAGCTATAAGTCTTGCTGACTTTAAAAAGACTATGTTCTGCACTTTGGAAACTGTCACTGTCTGTTTGGCATAAATAAGCTTTCAGGTGTACATTTCCTTTGGACTTATTGACTTTGAATGTTGTATCTCAGATGCCATACTAATGATATTTATTCTGAAGTACCTGTAGCTCAGAGCAGAAGCCCACTGATATGATAGCACACAGTTGATGTAATGAAAGCGGAAGATTATTCCCCATTGCTTAAAACGAAACTTGCAAAGGAGAGGTATTGATAAGAGCTGTTTTCGGGCCCACCCAGGATTTTATCAATTCTACGATTTTTTGCTCATTAAGGGTCTATATTTCATGAAATGCATCATAACTTGGCCCTTTCCAGTCTGTTTTCAGGTCTAATACTGGTCTTTCCGCATAAAAAAAAATCCGCCTTTTTTCGCAGAAATTGGCCCTTATACTCATGTTTACATCAGACCTGAAAAGAGGCCAAGAATGACCTCCGTAAAATATAGACCCTTCAGGAGCAAACAATTGTAGAGTTATTAAAAACAGACCCTGTCAACATCTTGTCAACATCCCTTCTTTAGACGTAAATCCCTATTTCAAGATGTTACGAGTACAAATGGGTTGACTTTTCTGGAAATGTTAGCTATTGAGGAAGTTACTTAAAATGCTTAGCTTTGAGCTACAGATATAGTGTGAAAGTTCAAAAAATGTGGATCTCAGGCTGCCATTTGTGATAAGGAGACGGATTTGTTCGTTTCATTGGAGCCTTCAAATTTTTGGAAAAAATTATTCACACAAAAAGTGTTGCTTTTTTGTGCATCTTATACAGTGGCTGTATACTATTGCCTATTCCTTGGATTATAATATACATTTCCATGAACAAGAAAGAAACTTGCGTACATTTTCACAGTCCAACACTTTTTTTACTTAAAGATAATGAATTAACAGTCATGTATGATAACTTGAATCATTCAACAACACTTTTGGTTCAGTATGCCAATTTACATGCGCCTTGTGGATCTTCTGAAATAGATTCAGAAGCACCAAGTCTACTTAAGATATCTATCATAAAATGTGAAACAGACATAAACTGAATCCTAAACATTTTCAAAGTTCATGTTCTTTCTATTTGTATGACAGAATAAATGAGTCAAATTCACGGATTGGACTTGAATTGATTTCTACTTAGAAATGAATTCTAAGTCCAAGTTAAGAACAAAATGACTTCGGTTCTCTATCAAAATTCCTCTTTAACAAGGAATAGTCACAGTTCATAAAAGTACAATTTTTTTACATGGACAGTTAGCACTAAAACTATCGCACTCAGAGGCAATGAGCAGTACGTATATGGCATGTACTAAAAAAGTATTTTATGACATTTTACTTACAGCACTCTGCTCTTAAATTAGATCCTTACAACCGTTCTGTTCACTTCTTCTGTTTTACATTGGTCTTGTTCAGATTGTCTTTCAATTGGCACAGGTGCCAATTCAGTTTAAAATTTTGCTTCAAAACGGATGACATTGTCACTTTCATTGCAATCCAAACCGCATAAGGATATTTGTTCATTGATTAGAGGATAAATCTGTGTCTGCTGATCTATCCCTCTACATTTTGTTAATTTTATTTTGTAAGAGATTTTCAGCATAAAATGATTTTGTGGTCTTAATATATTGACTTGCAACATAACTTACCATAAAATGTTAAAAATTAAAATTAAGGGAACTAAATTTCGACTAGCTTTCTGAGAATTACACAATAAATTCCACCGATAAAAATAGACTTAAAATTTGTCAATATTTGCAGAATAAGAGGGAGTTCAAAACTCGGCGGACAGGGTGTTTGAGCTGTGAGGTGCCAAAATTTTAAGGCTCAGTCTGGTAATGAACAGAATTTTCTACTTGACATTAAAAACACACACTTTTCATCTGAAAAAGAGTTCTTACGCAGAAAAGTGAGGTACACACAAAGGCAGTTCCAAAACCTAACCTAACCTAACACTGGAATTGAAAAACTAGGCGACTCATAAAGCTGATGAAATTCTTTCCAGATGTTCAAGCTTTATGAAAAGGAGGCTTTCTGATTTTTCTATCGATGATCTACAAATATCATTAAAATAGAGTCATTCCCAGTTCTTTCCATTTCTAGCTTTCCCAACATCGTGCCATCATAGCTCTGACCGACAGCGCTTCCTATTCATAGCTCTGAGGGGCAGCACTTTCTTCAGACAGGAATATGATCAGCCTTTTTCTGGTTACCCTTTTTCCTCTGGCTGTGGTCACATAACTTGAACTCCTCTTACTAAAGATGTGTATGCATATAATGATAATATTACGTCAAATTTTTTATTTGTTTACAGGTCTGAATCCAATTCGGATTAATACAATAATTAGTTCAAACACCCTGTAAAAAACGCAGAGTACCATTATCAAAATCATACAAACATAGATTTCATATGAATGACTCAAATTAACATTTAAAATGGACCAAAAAAAATTTAAAAAGAAATAAAACTATGATAAGTCTCCACTCTTCAATCTTGTACTTCGCCAACCTGAAAAGTGAGAAAAAAATGGAGATAAGAAATTATGAGAGTGATCTGACAAAGTACTAGAACACGTACGCACTATCTATCTCTTCACCAAGGTACACAAAAATGTAAATTTAATTTTCAAGTTAACCTCAAAATTCTCTGGTATCCCTTTTCAAATTGAGATTTCCAGAAATTCTTGTTCCAACAGTCAAAAAACTCTCAACAGAGAAAAATTGAGCACATTCAAATTTTTTTCTTGTAAATCCATGCTTTTTTAACCCCTTAAAACATAGGTAGAGAAAATTTCTGAAATAAGATTATTTTCCATCTTCTTTAAAATAAGGCTATTACGACCTAAGAACGTTTTGGCCTTTTGAATACCAGAATTTTCAAACACTGGTTACCAAAACCAGAAAGAAACCCAGTGAAATTGCTTGAAAATCATGATGGGCACATCAAAAAAAGTCTGAAATTCATTCCTTAGCGTAAAATTTGTGTATATAGTTTTTGACACACTTTTTTATATTTCCTGTGTCTGCAGGCAGTTTGTTTTTTAGAGACCGGCAATCAAGTTTGCCCCGGCACAGGCGAGAAAACTTAATTTAAATAAGCAAATAATCTTGCGAACTGCTACAAACTTTCCTTAAGTGCGATTTCTATTGAATTAAAGATTTTTTTTGATAACACAATGAAATGAGAAGGGAACAAATGCTCAAAAACGATTTGAAATATATGCAAAAAAAAGTTTGCAAGATTATATGTTCATTTAGAGTAGGTTTTTTTGCATCTCTCCCCTCTCCCCCTAACTTGATTGCCAGTCACTGAGAAAACCTGCCTTTAAACGCAAGAAATTCGAAAAAAAGTCTTGAAAACAATGCAGATTGTACATTCAAAAGTGGATTTCAGACATTTTTGAAGTTTCCATCATGCAATTTGCCCAATTTTATTCGTAGAAAGTCTATTCACTCACCTGCTCTGCCATCTTAAGAAAAAATGCCGCACAAACAATCGATTGTTGCAAAATTTTCCCTAATAAAAAATGTATTTTAGAGGAAAGGTATGCATATTTTTTCTTGAAATTTTAAGATATTTTGGATTGAATTGCTGACAAAATTGGCTGAAAAATTGAAAGAAAGTATTCACAGCTTTTATAGCTTTCAACAACATTTTTCCTTCGCACAGTAGTATATTTATTGCGAGCACCAGACCCATTAAGAGACTGGAATAAGTACAAGCAATTCACCTTCAATTTCGTTTAAGTAGAGATCATGGGCTCAGATTTAAAGGAAGGTTAGGAGACCTGAAATCTCTTGAGTTTCCTTGAACTGCCTTTGTGGCTAATGAACATCCAAATGAAAATAAATTGCCTAAACAAAAAGAGCTGACCTGAGTCAAATTCATGTCCATTTTAACTCTTTCAAAGCCAAAATGATGAAAGTGATCTTAGTGATGAAAGTGATCTCAGTGATGAAAGTAGTCTTTGGATGAAAGTGAGTAAAAATAAATAATACATGCAACTTACCCTGGTAGACAAAAGGGATTATACATTGTTGAAGTCACAAATGATTCTACGTTGTGGTTCAGGAGTGTAGTGGAATCGTGCCTGCAGACACTGAGGACTCGTTGGCACTGAGTTACATTCTGATATTCTCCTAGGAGGTGGAATGGGTGGTGTTGGGGTCACGTATCTGAGAAATTGGAAAAAACATACATCAAAATAAAAGAATATAGCATCTAGCTGTGAAAGCTTAGTTATTAGATTTCATGCAGATCAGAGCAAGTTGATTATGTACAGCAGATCGGTTAATATTTACAAAATATTGACGTATCTCCATTGTGGTGTTTCAAAACTTCTGGTCCTATTCGAAGAGAAATATGCCAACTTTATGGCTTGAAATTTACATGAAATATTCTGCTGATAGAGAAGAAAAATCAAGGCAGTTTTCAAGAAATCACGTTGACTAGTTTTTCAAAAAAAAAAAAAATAAAGAATGGCAGGAAGTCTGCAACATTTCAAACAAAGATACGTGGTTTTGCACTTTAGCCATTGACATTGACAGTTACACATAAGGGATACAGAGAATTGAGTAAACTTTTAACGAGTGAAATTGCATGTAAATTACATTGGGGACATCAGAAAAGTCTAAATTACACACAATTAAAAAAAAAAAAAAAAAAAAAAAAAAAAAAAAAAAAAAGCCTTCTTCAATGGACTTTTTAAATGATAAAACTATTTGTTTTGTTAACTTTAAAGAAACATACCTTCTAGAGAGAGATGGTGATCCTTCTCCAAACCTTCGGACCGGGGCAGGTGAAGGGGGTGAGTCAAAGTAACCTCGTCTTAGTAATAAAGGTGATGGATTTTTGTCTAATGGATTAGAAAACTGTCTGTTTAATCTAGGTGGGGGGCTTGGAGGAGTTGGGCAAGGCGCAGGTGATGGTTGCCTGGATGACCTGAGGGGAGGGAACAATCGGGAATCTTCTTTACTACCACCGCCCAAGTGGAATTTCAGATAAGACGCAAATCTTTTCTTTCCATTGTTTGGTGTTGACTCTTCAATTGAATTCGTGGGTTCTGGGCCAAATCGCCGGCTAGGAGAGACTGATGATGACCTAGTTTGAAAAAAAGCAAGAAATTAGCATTTAATAGAACCAAACCAGTATATGACATAGAACCAATTTTAAGACCAATTTTGAAACCAGACTTGTTTGGCTCCATTTTTTTAGAAAATCTTAAGAGAGACTTGGCTACAATAAGCTTGAGAGAGGCTGGATAAGTGAGAAGCTAAGTTTGGGAACCATAAATAAAGACCAAGAAGAAATTATCTGAATTTCGATGAGCTTGAGACAAAAACAGGGTGAAAAACTCATATTTTCACTAATCTTCTTTTGATTTTCCTGTTCGGTAGCATGCAGTTCCTCTCTACAACTTGTCGCAAGACTCAATGATGGAATCAGTGTTGTGCAGAACAAATGTGACACATAATTCACCAGCCTAGCTTTACATAAACAAAAACAACAGACACCCGAGACTTGCAGCACGATCAATCATGAATTATCGAAATTCAAGACTTGCATTTCTATAATGAAACTTCGAAACCGCAGATCTCCGTTTGCGACGTTGGAGACTTCCTGATATACACTAATTTTTAAAATGAAAAGTCAATCGATTTCAATTCTTGAAAACTTCCATGATTTTTCTTCTCTGAGCAAGGAAAGCTCTGTAAAAACTTCAGGGTTGTTGATTTGATGATGTTGATTTGATGTTGTTGATTTGGTTTCTTTAAAAAAAAAAAAAAAACATAAGAGCAGAGATTTTAAAACCCCGAAAACGAGATATGTGATTTGGTAGCTTCACCGTCGATTTGCGAGGCAAAGTTATGGATGACACTGCAATACTTTATGGGGGTAATGAAACATTCAGAGCAATGCCGCATCGAAGATACTACATCTTAAATCCAGGAAACTTACCTAAAAGAGTGTTGTTGTTGCTGCTGCTGATGATAAAATCTTTGAAGGACTAAGGGACTGGTGCTACCACTGAGGTTTTGTGCTGGTTGAGGCTTTAGCAAGGTACTTTGCTGATTTGATAATGAATTGTGACTTGTGATTGAGCTTTGTTGACTGGTTGTTATTCGATGTTGGGTGTATAGGGATTGATGTGTGTGAGTCATTGGGCCGATATCATATGGATATCGCTTCCTGGCTCCAACTGGCGAATAAGTACTTCTGGAAAAATGGAGAAAGAAAATATAAGTAATTAGAGGCACCAATTTTTTAAATGCTATTTTATTGGTGAATAACTGTATTTTTGAAGGCAATTCTGCCGTGTGAAACAAAAAAGTTTTATGAGTCTTCAGACGTTGCCATATTTCCTTCAATAAAAAACGAATTTTCTGGAAAAATTGTGAATACTTCTCTTCAAATTTTTTGGACAATTTTGTTTGTGATCTAATAAAAGATATCTAAAAATTTTAAGGAAAAATACTTCTAACTTTCCTAAGACATAAATAGGTTATCGAAGGAACTTTGGCAACTCTTGAATATTCTGCCAAAATTCTACATACCTACATTTCTTTCTGTTAATAAAACAAATCACTTTCTGAAGACTACAATTTCAGATCCTTTGAAATGGCCCAGCGTGATAACTCAGATTTTGAGCTCTTCTAACTTCACAAAGGAGTGAAACCACATAAAAAAATTGGTGAGTTCCGCTTACATAATTATCATTTTGGTGCGTCATTGGACAGAGTGTTGGTTGCACATTGGTGTAAATTTTCGTGAAACTCCACACTTACATATTAAACTAAATAAGTTATTGCTTCAATTTAAATAAATTAAGAGAGTATAAGCACATTGGAAAAACAGAGGTTGCAAAAATGAAAATTTGATGAAACTTACATGGAAAATTTATTGTTATCCCATTCTGTAGAAGAAAGGCCATTGGTAAAACTTGAGTTTTCCGAGGGCCGTAGAGGGGAATTTGACTGCTTTTCAATTTCGCTAGAATACTTTTCACTATCAAACACTCGCTGGAAACTATTACTGACTGGAGGGGGAGGGGGAGGATGCCGCCTCATCGGCGCAGGAGAAGGCGGTGTTTCTAATCTGAAAATATTCATAGTAAATTAGAGAAACGTATTGAGATTGGACATTAGTTTTATGATATTCAGAAATAATAAAAGTGATCATTTCGTTTTGCAATCTTGAAGCTAGAAAGAATAAAAAGTTATTTATCTCTCCTTGGATAAGGTTGAAAAAGATTAAAATGAAAAAAAAGGTAGTGAACGATGAATGATTATCAGGTTAAGATTTTTTCATTTACATTATTTCATTACAAACTGGCTATTTCAAGCTTGCAACAAAAGCCTATACAGCTGGCCAAAGCCCATCAGTTACTGCCCGTCAAATGCCCTACCAGGCTCCATGTTTTAATGTTACTCGCTTCACCAAGGGCAGCTTGATGCTTGCAATTCGATTCTCCTTCCTACTTCCTTGATTTCAAATCAACAGAGGTTAGTTCATTTCTGTTGAAACGAGAAACAGAATAAACCTGAATGGATTCATATTCAATAAAACACATATTTTTATGAGAAAACATTCACTGTGCAATTTGAGGGACAATCATGGCGAAAAACTAATTGAAATGTATTTCAATTATATCTGTAGATCAACTCACCTTCTGACTGTCGTGGCGGATATGGTGCAGTTGTTCAACAAAATGGCATTGCTAGAACTGTTTGCATTATTGCTGTTGCTGCTACGAATGGCTTGAGCATACCAATCACTTACATCGACTGGTGCTGTTTCATACCGTTTTAAGAAAGGATGCTCTAATAGTTTATTGTACTTGGGTCGTTCCCGGAAATTTTTTGTTAAACTGAAAAAAGAGGGGAAAAAAAAGATTCATAGATCTACTATTTGAACGGACAGAATTACTTCTGATCATATTGAAGTTCATCAAATAAAATCTTTCCTCATTGATTATAATATTTTTTGTTAATGACGTTGCAATTGATCTTTAAGAACCAACAAAAATGTACTTTAACAAGCGTTCTACATAATAAAAAAAAGATTAGTTAATTTAAAATAAAGGCTGTGCTTGACATGGTATTATTGTAACAATCTTCTAGAGGAACTCTTTTATATTAAAAATAAATAGAAAGGGATGAAATTAAACACAAAAAATGTGAACCCACTATGGAATATGCATGAGTATGGCTAAGGAACAAAAGCGCTAACTAACAATTTTAGAGAAAATGTAATAGAGGCTTTGCCAAAATCTACAATATAAAATATGCAAGCTGGTGTTTCTAGTTTTTTCCAATTCAGCACAATGACACTGTAATGTGTAAAAAAAGAATTGCAAACCTAACCTCAGAATTACGGAAAATGGCGAAAATTCCTCCTATGAAATCATCAGTTTCCAGATAGGAATCCATTGTTTCTTAGCATTGATAAAATTTCTAAAACTCACCTCTGTGCTCACAGACTTCTTTTAGAATGGATTATTACAACCACTAATGTTTTGGTACAAATTATTTTCTTAAAAATCTGATGAAATCTTAATTAGTGGATGCATTTGCTAAAATTCAAGTGAATATTAAAATTCTTTACAATATAAATCGGACTAGCATGTTTTTTGTGACGTCAAAATTTTGGGGCTTGTCATATTCTTCCTTACTGTTGACGATCCGGTTGTTCATTTGTCTCCATGAGAGAGCTGCTAGGATAAGGGGATAGCATACTCACCAGCTAGACACAAAACGCTGGAATTCAGGTGAAAAGCGGCCTGGATCTGGAGGTAGTGAAGGAGGGTCATCATTGAGCACCCGGCTGAGTACTTCAAAATCACACTTGCAGTCTTTGTAAGGGAATACACCTGTTGCTAATTCTACTAATGTAATACCTAAACTCCACACATCTGCACGGATGTCGTAATCAGGTTTCCTAGGGTCTGGAGGCTCTATTCTTTCCGGCTGGAAAAGAAAAGTTCATTCAGTTGAAGAGCTTATGAGTGGTAGTGATAGTAATAGGCCCTTGGACAAGGTATTAATTATTAAGCACTAAGTAACATGTTTTCAGTTCAAAATTGCGCAAGGAAAACGAATCACACAATGGGAAGGCTGAATATTAATTCTTAAACAAGATATAAGTATTTACAATTAACATTGCTTAAAGGGCAGAAATACAAATGCCGTCATTTGCACGATCTAATTACTATTTGATCAGTGTTGAAAATAATTGTTAATATCTCATTTGGAAGTTGATTTTGGGACACTTTGTCATGCAAATTTTTTTTTACATGCAATTTTGGAGCAAAGAAGTGACATATTTCTAGTTCATACCTTGTCTAGCGGCCCATTGTAAGTTTTTGCAGTCTTTTATCTACTTAATTTATGACTTTTGTTTCATTTCTTTTAGGAAATGCTGCAAGTAAGTTCATTCCAGTGGTTAGTTGAATTTTTTGCTTGAATGAAAAGGAACAACAAGTTTTTTTCAAACAATTTTCTCGCCTGATACGCTTGCTGGTGCTCTCGCTCTTGAGCACTTTTTGCACCTCTGATTTGGACAAAGTTTCCTTCCCTTTATCCTTGTAGGTATTTTAAAATTTTTAAAAACTTTCTGAAAATTTGAAACGAGCAGTTCTTTGAAACTGAACTGAATATATTTCCTTCCTTATTTTCCTTCTTTTTAAATGTCAAAGTAATGAAGTCAGAATTCACTTACCGCCATGTATGCAGCACAACCTGCATTTTTTGTTTTCGCTTTTGAGTCTACTAATCGCCCGGAAATGCCAAAGTCACACAATTTCACATTCCCACGCTCATCAAGTAGAATGTTTGAGGGTTTTACATCGCGGTGAATGACACCATGTGATTCCTTTAAGTAATTGAGGGCTTTCACAGTCTAAATTAAAACAAAAGAACAAATTCAAAGTCAAACAATTCTGATTAGAGATTTTAAATGATGCAATTCATAAAACCAGAGAACTTTTTGATTGACATAAAGAAACGTTAGTACACAAAAAGTTGATATTCTCGATACGCAACATCACAGCTACGCTAGGCTTTTTATAATAAGAGAGCTTTGCAGCTAACATGAACTTAAACCTAATTAATGATTACAGTGTTCAATCTTTCAGAGGAAATATTGTACACCTAGCAAAGCTTTCTTTTGAGTAAACAGGGGTTTTTAAAATAAGAGGAATTTGATAAAAGGAAAGGCCAGGAACTTACTGAGTCTCTGATAAAATGTTGATTGTATCAAATTCCTCCATGTACTATCTTGCTACAGAAAAATGCTACACGAACATTCGGACGCTATTAGATTTCATTTGATGAAACATTTATTTTAGAAGAAAATAATGAATATTTTTCCTGAAAATTAAAATAGAAGTTTCCAACTGTTGCCAAGAGGCTTGCGAAGGGAATCTCTTTGTTTCTGGATAGAGCCACGGATGGCAATCCATTAATAAAGCCATAACATAGGCACGTGATTTTAGATTTTACAACGAAATCTTACCGCAAAAGCTATTTTTCCAAGAATATGTTCAGGTATCGGTCGCCGCAAGCGTTTCAAGAGCCTATCAAAACAAGTAGCCATCAGTTCCATACAAATCCAAACATCAGACTCTGTTATTAGACATCCAAGACAACGAACTATGTAAGGACAATCATGACTTTTTAGAACTACATCAAGATCCATCATGATACGTTTGTTTTCTTCACAGTTCCCAGACCTCCGCATTTGCTGGAAAAATAGAAAAGTAAACAATAATTGGATAAAGGCTTTGATAAAAAAGACTGGTTCTTGTTAGTAGAAAATCGACGGTTCACTTTTACGCTAATTTCATTGAAAGATTGCTCTGTCATTATTGTAAAATTCCCGTTACATTGCAGAGTTTATGACACAGCGCAAAGGATCAGAAAGCCAATCAGAAAAGCATGAGACAGTACAGCAAAGATAAATAAAGTGCAATTTTTGCCAAGGAAGAAAAGAAAAAATATGTAAAATTCACCTTGACAGCAATCACAGTTTGGCTTGGTTTGTGAAGCATTTTTACAACATGACCACAAGTCCCACTTCCAAGATCTCCCAAATTTTCCATATGTTTGACTTCAGTTTTGTACATCTGCAGAATATGAAAAAAGATTAGGTTTGATCAGCAAAGGAATTTAAACGATGAGTAATGTTAAATACTAGATGAGACATTAAATTCTACAATAGGTAAAGTTTAAATAATCTTATTTTATGGTCTTTTTCTTACAAGAAAAGGAATAAGCATTTGGACGCCAAGAAAATACGCTGTAAAAAAGAGGAAAGATGGGGACAAAGAAAACCACCCAACAGCTTGAAGGGGTTAGTTCTGTCTTTTGGTCCAAGAAACATCCAACTATTTCAAAAATTGTCTCGCATAGAACATTTAAATAGTTAGAGAACAATAAATTGCCAATTTGAGAAAAGAACAATCAAAGTTTGCTGAGTTGTCAGTTCTAAAAATAATTGATTTTATAAGTATGCTCACAACATTACCTATAATGACAATTGTGACATGAAATTTTGACTTAATGTGCTTGAAGGCTTAAGACTTGAAATTTTGCCTTTTTGTGCTTGAAAGCAGTAGAAAGCTTTCGACATGAAAATTGAAAATTAATATTTTTGACTTCAAGCAGTTTCGTCAAGTCTATCTCACAGGATCTTTTGGCTGGTTCCACCACAAATATTTTTTCAGAATATTTGTGCTTGTGATGGAATCAGCCAAAATTCGATATCGTAATTTCTACAAACTACTGTCTCCAAGGAGAGTAAAGTTATCAGGTTAGGCTCCAGTTACGGTAAAAATGACTCAAGAGAGTTTTCTTTAAATTTTTAGCAAAAAAAAGTCCCCACATTTAATTTAAACGTCAGGATGCATTGCTTCTTTGAATTTTTTTAAGAGGATGAAAGACTAAGAAACAGGAAGTCTCTTTCATCATCAAGACAAAAACTACATAATTGGCTTGGTTATCCAATTTTGTAACCAAAAAGTACTGATGGATTATGCAGTATTTTAAAGGAGGTACAGTAGGATTAATGATTATAGTTGATGCTTGCAGGATTATGATAGTAATTTTTACTTAAGGTATAGAATTGCGGTATTGTTTCATATTTGCTGATACCTCTGGCGAGCCCGAGCCTCCTCAAGTGGCAATCATGAGAGCAGCTCTGATTGGATAATTCAGTTTCTTTCCACAATTTATTAATTTACAACAACTTAATGGCTTCAACAGCACGACGGTGCAAGTCGGCAATCACATAACTCGGTTTGCGACGTCGCAGACTTCCTGTCATACTTTATTTTTTAAATGGAAAACTACTCAACGGCAATTCTTTAAAACTGTCATAATTTTTCTTCTCAATGCAAAAAAATTCTGCAAAAACTTCAAGAAATAATGTCAATTTGTTCTCCTTTAAAAAAATGACGTAGAGACGGAGATTTTCAGACGCCGCAAACGAGTTATGTGATTACCGACTTTCACCGTCGAGCATCTTAAACCATTTCATATGAATAGAGCTTTATGAAATTAAACAATTTAAAAGTACTTACTCTTCCATTGATAGTAAGCAAACCATTCATCTTCATGATCTCCTTCATCTTCCTATCCACCTCTGCACAATCGGTTGGCGGAGGTTGCATCGTGACACTGACTGGTAAGTCCACGAGTTGCTTCCGTGTTCGAGTAGGGGTCCCCATGTCACCCACTGCGAATTAAAAGGGTTGAGAAATTAAGTCATGAAATACCTCAAATCATCAGACCTTAATGTTACCTCGTATTCCAATTCACCACTTTAGTCATTCAAGAGATAAAACCAATCTTCAAAGTCATTTCACAACAAACATTGCGTACTGTGAAGATTGGGTTTCACTGATGGTTTTCGATCACTCAAATTTGAAACAGACGGAATTCCTAAAATGGTTAAGAAATTTGCTTCATTTAGTTAATAACTGTGACCCCTACTGATTTACAAGATAATTATTCAACCTGTAAAGCTCTGACATTGCTGGAGTTTTTCAAAATAACTGAAAAAAAGATGCTAGCACGGTTCAGTAATTCACATACAGAACAAATCTACTGACTGCTTGGCATCCATGTGATGTCTTTAATGGTGAGCTTGAGATGTTTGAAGAATATCTCAACATAGGAGTATGTGCCGTTCACATTCTTGGCGTAGGTTAGGGCGAGCCAATGAGACACTTGTGAGAAAGCGTATGACTTAGTTTCAAAAGTTTACTGATAGCGCCCGAAAATCAAGCTGAATGAAGCTGATGGTTCCTAGCGAATGAAAAAATTAAACGCAAGCTACTTCCTTTTGCCAATATTGAGAATGAAAAAATACATCGGCCATTTTGGTTTCAGCTTTTGAAAGGGTGATATTTTGGTTTTAGAAACACCTATATCTGACTAAACATTGACAATCTACTTAAAAATTGCTGCACCCTAAAAATAACCGAACAAATATTTTGTTTGTGCCGTCCAATGACATGAGATCGAAAAAATTGTTGATATCAACTTACGTTGCTTGGGCCTTCGACCCGACCCCTGTCTCGGACTTGCCAGGGCACTGATTCCCAAATCCTTAGGAGTATTCGTTCTCTCTGGAGTTTCATTTTCCGTTTCAGCTTTGAGTCTTGCTTGAAGGTCATTAATTTTATCTTCTAAAAATGAGCTAGACATACTGTGTGCACCAGCTTACACTTGGGATAACACTCACTGTACATGGAAAAACATTGGGAGTATTTTGTAAGAAGCAACCTTCATTAGAAAAATTTAGTTAAACTTGGGTTGTAATTACAGAAATGATACAGGAAATTGTGTGGAATGACGGGGATTCATCTGGCTTATTATCTGAGTTTACAGGTTTTTACAACACAACAAGAAAAAACAAAATGCAGACTTCATGAAGCTCAGCCCTCAAAAGATTACACAAACTAGGAGCAAAACGATCAGGAAATGCAAAGAAATGTTACAAGGAAATCTTCATGATATAAAAAATGTATTCGGAGAACCACGGAGAACGATCAATCCTCTCATAATAAGAAGGTTGTGAGAGTACCCATTTTCTGCGGTAATGCAAAGATTACACATCGCTTGTTTACAATAAATGAAAGGCAACAGTGTAAATATTGTGGTTGCAGAGCCTCTGACTACTCTGATTGCTCTAAGCTCTGACTCATAAACTAAACTTTTGAAAAGTTATGCAGTGGAAAAACCATCTCATTTTATAGAAGTTTTCTGTGAAAATGCAAACTTAATTTCGTGTTATTATTCTATTTCAGGCTCATTTAATCTCTTTAATCAGCAAACAAAAGACAGTGTGCCAATAAAGTTCATTGGACTCGCAAGGCAACGGATCTGAAGTAAGTAGTTGGAAAGTTAACGCCACATCCTGACTTTTTAAAAATGATTTTTGGAGTACGTTTTCCAAACTGCTCGTGTTGCATGGTTCTTTTCTTCAAATTGTTCTGGTATATGACCAATAATTATAATTATAGCGGCTTGATATATGCTGGTCAGTGCTACCGCTGCGAGGGAGTGTCAATCATACTGGAATGGGCAAAGGAAACGCTCGACACGCCTTCTGACAATGTGTCACCAGTGGGGGGAGGGGGTCTCCATTTGAAAGCGTTGATATTTTAGGGAGATGCTCCCTTCCTGGGCTCCCTGGGGGGTCGAGGGCGTGACCCCCCAGAAGGTTTTCCCCTCGATGATGAGGATGAAAGTCTGAGCTAGAACATTTTAACTCAGTCACTGAATAAGTTATGATGTATCATGTGTTTCTTTTGCCCATCCCGGCATATTTGGGATAGCATTTAGCAAGAAGGAACCAGTGCAATTAGAGCTCGCGCATTGTATGTTGAGACAAACGTCAATCTCCGATTAGCTCCTAACTCGCATCACTCAACAGGTTAATACATGTAGTCAGGTAGTACCACTAGGGCTTTTTTTTTTATCGCGGAACAGGGTGGATCACAGTGGAACGCACTGGATCGGAATCCTGAGGGATCCGGATCGATCCAAAGTGTTCCAAGTGGTAAAAAAATCCAAACTTGGAATATGGTTTGATTTGTTATTGTTTTGATTTTTTGAGGACGGCAAGTTCCTTGCATTAGGTTAGGATCACATTGGATCGCAAGCTCGCCCCACCTCGGAAGAGCGATCCAGCGTTCCACCCTGATCCACTTGGAACGCTTGGATCATGGCTGAGGAACGGAATAAAAAAATACCGATCCACCGCGTTCCACTGCGATCCGCATTAAAAAAAAGCCCTACTGGTGAATGATGACGTAAACAATTCTTTGACATTTGTCTCCACATACAATGGGTGAGCTCTACAGTGTTCTCAAAATCGTTTCGCTTCATCTTTTTTAAAAATACATATTTTATGCACAGTATTAAAATTAACTCAGTTACCTACCTATTTTCCTCTAAAATCAACAATTTTTTGGTGGGAAGCCAAAACTTTTTGCTTTGGGACTTTTGCCAAAACTTTGGGAGATTTTTTAGATAATTATGAAGAAAAAACATTTTTACCACTCTCCACTCCCACTGATTCCTTTTCGCTAAATGCAATCCAACTATGCTTCTATGATCAGAATGGGGTTTGCAATTTGTAAGATCACAACTACTTTAGACTGCAGCAGGTTTTTTTTGTCTATAAAGACACTAATCTATGCTACCAAGCCCTATCGTTTTGTTGAAATTGATCACTCTGGAATCCATGAGATAGTTTCATGAAGTGAGATGTCATTGGGCGGGAAGCCATATAAAAAAGCATACATGGTGTTTAAACAAAGTTCTTTCTAGGGTGAGAGGTAGATACCTGATCTCAATTTGCAAGCCTCTTTGGTGCACATGTGATTTTATTTTCCTAGCTGCATTGAAGGAAGCACAACTATTTTCCTGATCTAATGTTTATTTCGACTGATTGCAGGGTGCTATGTCTGCTTTAAAGTTTCAAAACGGTGATGCAGATGATGACTGGGACACTGATCCAGACTTTGTCAACGATGTCACTGAGCAAGAACAGAGGTGGGGATCTAAAACAATCCCCGGATCCGGGCGCGACATTGGCTATGTTGAGTACGTATCTTATTGTTTCTTGTCCTTAAAGTGATTTTCGTTCATGGTGGATTTCTTCAATTCATGGATCAATCCAAATGTTCCAAAGATATTAGAAGGTAATAAGACGTTCCGGAGCACTTACAGAAAAGGCTTGTCTCACAATCTCAGTTAACTCAAACACAGCTGTCATTACTTAATAGAATAAAGTACAAAATGAAAGACTTTTGAATATGACATAATCTTTTCCTTACATTTGAATCTTACATTAAATTTAATGTAGGGGATTTGGAATACAACAATAATTGAGCTCTTGTATGTGTCACTGGTTTTCTCTGAAATTAACTCCTAAGCTCAAAAAAAGCTCTCTAAGTTGAGCCCGTAATGGAGAGGAAATCCCACGCTACCCTGAGAGTTCACCCCTATGTCAAGACAAACTCTCTACGCAAAGATAGGGAGCAAATACATTAGCAGGGTTACTGTGTTTTCAGTTTTGAAGTCCCCCAACAATCCATCAAGTTTCTCGGGAAATTTTGCACTGGAATCAGTGCCTTAATTGCAAATTCCTGACACATCCAAGAGCTCCATTTATAGAGACAAGATCAACCTAGAAGAGAGTATATTTGTGCTAAAAACCTCCTAATTTGTTGGGAGATTCAGAAAATGCTGAAAGTTTCTTTAACTTTTGAATACCAAAAATCCTCTTTTAACTACTGAACAATCTAAATTTTACATAAATACTGAAAAAAATGTCTCCAGAATGCAATAATACCCTTCACTAGCTGTTCAGGTTGTAATGCACCCCTGACTGCAGATGTATGGTGCAAAATTACATTTTGCTCTTGCATTGTAAGACACTATATGAGAAGGTAACTTTTAAAAAATAGAAATTGAAATAAATATTATCTTTTTTTTTTCCAGTATGAAAAAGATTCGAGAGGAAGTATCTGAAGCAAATGCGAAGCAAACAAAAAAATCGGAATCCTCTTTTGGATATGGCGGGAAATTTGGAGTCCAGACAGACAGGTAGATAATCATTTTCCATCCTTTTCTGAGGAAGTAATTTATTTATACCTCTTTTGCGCAGAGACTAAAATCCTAGTTATCTCGAGGACCAAGGGTAAAGATTGAAATCCAATCAGGTAAAGCATAAAATAGGATAAAGTTAAAAATTTCAAGTATCTTGCATTCTTTTATTTTGGTTTTTGATAACTTGGTTTGTCTCTCAGTGTTTCTAACTGTATAAAAAAGTTGGAAATCAGAGCATGTCAAAAATTAGTGTATTTTTCATTCTTGTCGTACTGGGATTTGCTTACAATGGGAAGGTTCGCAGAGAAAAAACCACAGTAGTAGAGCTATTTTCTTTTGAGTTGGGTCAAGTGATCAGCTTCTGAGAATCTGTGATTTTAGTCAGAAACTCTTTTTAGTGTCCTATTGAGTAAGTTGCGAGCAGTCAAGGATATATTAATTAATATTTGTGCCAATAAAAGATTTACAATGGAATTATAATTCAGCAATATTGTGCTGTAATTAAGGCCAATTGTAATTTTCAATTTCATTTTTTTGAAACTACATTTTTTAACTGCCTACCTCAAAAGAATTCTATTTCCGGCATTATTATGTCCTAAAATGTCAATAAAATACTTTTTCCAGTATTCTCAGGCATTTATAATTCTATTTTGATTTTTATCAACCAAGGCCCCTCTGCCTGGGTCGATCACAAATGCTGATAACATTTTGTACCTGCAGCAATGTTAGACTATGTAGCCCAATGTTTTCGTCTTCTTTGCAGGATGGACCAATCAGCTGTTGGTCACGAGTATGTGGCTAAAGTAGAGAAACACGCCTCCCAGAAAGATTATAGTGCTGGGTTCGGAGGTAAATATGGAATCCAGAAGGATCGGATCGACAAGGTAATTCAATATCTTTTTTCAGTTTTTAGATCCGATCAGAGAGGATTGGTAAACTTATGTGCAAAATTTGACGTATTTCTGACTTAAATCTTTAGGAGTCGAAAATATCCAGTTATCTCCAGGTAAATTTAATTTTTAATTTTTAGGGTATTCTGGTGTCGCTGTGCTTAATTTTGAAATTTTCGTATTTTATCTAATGATTAAACTAACCAAGCTGTACTGTAGCACCGATCATGCACCAATGAATTCATGTTCAAATGTTATTATTGTAAGAAAATAATACACTGATTTACTAACGGTTCAATTTGACACACTATTGCTGTTTGATATAGTCAAGAACATCACCTCATCATGTGTGTGGTTTTTTTGTCAAAGAGAAAAAAGTTATAATTGAAGAGCTTGGAGGACAGGGCGCATAAGTGCAGTTTTTGGAAAAATTGAGATACTAATTATTTGAACTAGAGCTAGTCCTAAAATATATTCTATGAAGAACTCTGCTAAAATTCAATTTTTAAGCATCGAGAAGTGAGTTTGAACTTTCTTTCTGCGATGATGCTCCATGTAATTTTGAAACTTTAAACACAAACTTTTTGAAGTAGCAAAAACTGCATTGATGTGTCTTGTCCTCCAGGCCCTTTAATTGAACTATGGGCAACATCTAGAGTTGCACAAACCCTCTTCCTTTCGGCAGGCAGGAGTGAGGTCCATTCCAATCAGATGACGGTTTCCTGCTCTACATAATTATTGCCAATTGCTTTTGTCATGTATTTCACAAACTTTGGTCTCTGTTGTCAATTTCTTTTCTATTTAATAGCTGTTTCTCATGTTTCAATGTTGTGTTCTCCAGAGTGCTGTCAGTTGGGATCACAAAGAAGTTGTGGAAAAGCATGGCTCTCAGAAAGATTACAGCTCAGGGTTCGGTGGCAAATATGGAGTTGAGGTGGACAAACAAGATAAATCAGCTGTAGGATGGGATCACATTGAAAAAATTGAAAAGCACGAGTCTCAAAAAGGTTTCTGCTTTCTCTATCTCCTATCTGAATCAGCTAGCGGCAAAGTATTATCAACATTAATGCCTGTCGCTCTTATCACGAAAGATCTGAAAGATAAATGCTCTTTAATATTTATGCAGCTAATATTTCACCAGATATTTTCCTCAGTTTCTTCGAATCACCGTATTAGTTAAAATTAAAGTTTATCTTAGAACAAAAGTATTATTCTCTCCCTACCCATTCGGTATTTTTAAATAATTTATTAAGATAGTGATTATTCTATAATATTCCTAGATGGTGTTGCTAAGTTTGTGTCTGGTGCTCTATACTTGGGATGATAAAATCCCTATTTTGCAAATTGGCTTTTTCATTTTACCCGGCGCTTTTCCTCCATCATTTTCAAAGTGATAACTCTTTTTCTCTTCAAGTAAAGTGTTGATAGTTTTGCTAAAGTATTTTAAAATTTAGTGTAAAAGCGAATTTTTTATTACAGAGGGGGAACAAACTCTCTCCAGCACAGTATTCTCCCAGAATAGTTTCCGGTAATTCTCTGGTATTTCCTCATGCTCTTTTTCTTTGCTCCCTCGTTTTTTCTCTCTTTATTTTCCAATCACTTTGATTTTATGAAAAACATGCAATCCTCACACTAATATGAGCTCCCCATTTGAAGACCACTTTTCCAGCTTTTCCATTTTTGAAACCTGTCTTTCAGGTTTTCCCATTTTTGCATGCACCCGCTTGCTATGGTTGCGAAGTTTTTGCATCCTTGTTCCATCCTGTAAACAGGCATAAATTCCTAAATTTCATACAATTCTGATCAGGAAATTTTTTTGAACTTTACTTGAAAGGAATCTATTACCAAATTCACATTTCCCAATGTAAAATATTCAGGGTTTTTCACGCAATCTGGTAACTGCAAAGTACGCTCAGGAGAAAGACAAGGAATGTCATTCTACTGATATAAAATCCCGAACAAACGAGTGGAACATTTGCACATTCTCAGCAACCTGTATAGTGTTTATTAGTGTGCAACCTGTATGTTTTGAATTTTTCCTCTTCGATTGTCGTTCAAGACCATGAATATTTCAGTCATGCTTTCATTTTGTGCTCTAGGAGGCATACTTACTAAGATTCTAATCAAATGTTACTCTCATTATCTGTTCAGATTACGCGGTTGGATTTGGAGGGAAATTTGGCGTTCAAGCTGACCGTCAGGATAAATCTGCCATGGGCTGGGATCACATTGAATCGGTTGAAAAACATCATAGCCAAACAGATCACAATAAGGTACTGTTCTATATATTGCATATTTAAATATCTTTTTGCCCTTATTGTTCCTTGTTTCTGATGTTAACTGTCCATTGAATCATGAATTCTTGTTCCCATACTATTTAATAACATTGTTAAATTCACCAAAAAGTATGCTACTGTGATCAGCAATAAGCAACTGAGTTTTATATTTAATGTTCACACGGTGGCCAAAAAAAAAAAAATTCGGAGTATTGATAATGCATTGAACCAAATTTGTAAGTTGACCATGGAAACCTTGATTTTTGAAAGAAAGAAGTCCGAGTTGCACAATTAAAGTGAAGCTATCAAATTAGAACAATCAAACCATTGATGGCTCAGTTTGATCCTGTGACCCAGGCTTAAGTGTTCTGATTTAAATGCAAAGACATCTTAACTTGAAATTACTGTATTTTCATTGAAGAATATTCTGTGACGTTAATGTTTAGCCTTGATGGTTCAAATTATTTCCATTCGATTGACTTACTCTTATTAAAGCCCTTAAACTTAAAGTTACTCATAATTGTTTTGGACATTTCTTATATTCCGATAATGGAGCAGCTCTGTCAGTGCTTTCTTTGGGTTAATTTCTGCAGCTAAACCTTCAAAGATATGTTTTGCTAGCCGTAAAATATGTGGAATCAGGACTAATTGTGATTGGTTTTTGTGCAGGGTTTTGGAGGAAAATTCGGTGTTGAAAAGGATCGAGTCGACAAATCAGCACATGGATTTACGGAAGCAGAAAAAGTAGGGACAAATTATGTCAAATCAAAACCTGAAATTGGTAAGTAATGTTGCATTAAAGCCTCTTGCAGTAGGGTAACTTTTTTAAGTAAAATCTAATGTGATCTTTAAAATTGAAAGAATCGTCACAATGAAGGATTGATCTTAGATATGAAGAAGGATGCTCGTTTACTTACAGAATCATTTGTTCTCTGTCAAAACAAACAAACAGAAAAAAAAACCCCTATGGTCGGTCCAGTTCAATTCAATCCATTTTAGAATACATTAAGCACTCTTTATCAAAATGGTTTTAACTGCATATAATATGTATGTACATCTCACAATAATCTTTTTTCCTCACTACATGAAAGTGTTTTGCAAAATTTGAGTCTCATAATGAAATTGTCCTCAATAAAAACGATTGCATGCATTTATGCGAATTCATATTTTTTTTTTTTTTTTTAAGGATCCGTCAAACCATCAAGCCTACGAGCGAAATTTGAAAATCTAGCAAAACAGGAGGAGGAAGAATCAAGGCTGAAGAAAGAAAAAGAAAGAGAGAAACGAAAACAAAGGGAAAAAGAAGAGGCAGAGCAGGCAAGGGCTCAAGAAGAAAAGAGGCTTAAAGAACTTCAGGAACAAGAGGAAAAGGTGTGTTCTATTACCAACTTTTGTTTTGTAGATATTGCTTGCGTTCTCTGAGAGGAGGGGTTTGACTTGTGTCCTAGAATTCTTTGGGAAGACACTACCTGAAAATGATCTCCTCTAAAGGAAAAGTAATGGTAACAGTCAAATAATTAAAGTGCTGCTCAGTGTCAGAATTAAATAAGAGGGAAAGCTCTAATATGTTCACATTAGAGAAGCGCTTAGCTGTTTCCTATGGAGGTGCTGTTTTAAGTTCCCCAATAAAGATGAGCACCTTTGAGATAAAAGAAGTTGCTCACCAAAATTTCAACCGTCAATTTTGAGAAAACTACACTACTGCTGAAAAAATGAAGTGTAGAAAAACGATTATCGTTTGTGCTTTGACATCAGAAGCATCAGATAAAGGTATCACAGATTAATTTATTCTAAATATGTTAGGCCCCTTACTGTCATCTTGTTGTTTAGCTGGTATGTCACTTAAACGTATGGCCACCAGTATACTAGAATTCTAGAGGCAGGTTGAAATCAATGAGCACTCCCTATTGACTGAGCGCTTTTCAGGAAACATCTTGCTTTCAAGGGAAATAATTCATTTACCAGCCGAGAGGAAATGAAATAGCAAAGAATACGCTAAGATTCCACTTGAGATGAAGTGAGGAGCTAGAGGATGGAGCTTTTTTATACAAAAGATACGACGAAATGAATAAACAACATGAATTTAAAATTCACAGAAACCACAATGACATAAATGAAAAAGTCTGAGATTCACCCCTTAATACAGAGTTTGCATGGTCTGTGTCATGGGTTTTCCAATTCTCTGCGTCCATGGACACTTTTTTTGTGACAAACAGGTTTGCCCAGAAATATATGCAAGATAATCTACAACAAAAAATATCAATTAAATTGATATTAAATATCAATAAAAAAACAAAAATAAACTACAAAAATATTTTAATAACACATAAAACAAACAATATCTTGTTAACTTTGTACATAGTATCATTATCTCTCATGATAAAAAAAAGTTCATTTTTTATTGTTTTCTCTCAGGTGAAAGCCATCAACGCTGCTCCCTCTAAATTTGAAGAAATAGCGGCAAATGGAACTGGATTGAAGAAAAACGGATTCCCTGCCATGGTGAGTTATAATTTTTGTCTACTAAGTTTTAAAATCTCATTTGACTGATTTTATTATTCTGTAAGTGTAAAATTTACCAAAAACATTACTTTTTAATGACATTCAACTATAATGCTGAAATTCAAATAATCAAAGGTTAATTGAGTTACCTGTCGTAGAGATGAAGGTATAACAATGGCAGGACCAATTTCACAAATTAATGCTATCGAAAACTTTTTGTGCTGAAATTATAAAAGGAAACAAAAAATATGCTGTGCTGTAATGTATCATGCTATCTATGTGTTTTTATATATGTCTCTTTTGCATTAATTGATAAGGTAATAACCATCCTTTTTTCGTAGAGAGAAAAATTCGCAGATGAAACCCCTTCACCTGCTCTGAAAGAGCCTGCAAAACCACCTGTGATTGTTGATGCAAAGATGAGTCAGGAAGTGAACCAAGAGCTGGAGAGGCAAAAGGCTGCGGCAGATTCATTAAGGCAAGAACAGCAGAAGCAAGAAGAATTAAAACAAGAACAACTCAGGCAAGAACAGCAGAAACAAGAAGAATTAAAACAAGAACAACTCAGGCAAGAAATGCAGAGGCAAGAAGAAATAAAACAAGAACAACTTAGGCAAGAAAGGCAGAGGCAAGAAGAAATAAAACAAGAGCAACTTAGGCAAGAACAAAAAATTAAAGAGGAGCAAGAGAAGTGAGTCCCTTACTTCTTTTAAATAAAACAAATATTTATTATTTTTTTTATTTATTAATTTTTTTAATGTGCAAACTTAAAAACCATTGAATGTAAAGTCCTTACTATAGTGGACACTATATAGAGCGATAAAACATGGAAAATGGAGGTTTGTCGAGGAATCTTTTAATATCAATGGTGAAACTACCTGACCAAGTGACCATGTATCTCGGTTTGCAACGTTACAGATTTCCTGTCATACTTAACTTTTTAAGTAGGAAACTCAACATCATTTTTTCGTCAACATCATTTTTTGAAAACTCATGATTTTTCATCCCAGTGTGACAAAAACTCTGTGAAAAATTTAAGGAATGATATTGATTTGTTCTCCTTCAAAGAATAAAAATAAAAAGAAAGCAGAGATTTTTAAGCATCGCAAACAAGATAAGTGGTCTGGTAGTTTCATCATCGATATCTGAATGAGTAGCCATTTCTCAAAAACTTGTTAGAAGCAAAGATTTTAAATTCTCTCACTCTCTCACTCAAGCTCTTTTCCTGCTTCAGTTGGAAAAATAACTGAATTCTGAGTTTGATCCTACATCCGAATTGTATGTCCAGCTTTTTGATGAAAACGGTGATGGAAATTTTCAAATTCTTTCTAATAGTCCATCCAAAAAGAATGATAGAGTTGATTTATGAAAGAGAGTAAGAAGATGGGAGAAACATTTTCCCCATTACTTTGTGTTGTCTACTTTTTTTTTCTAATTCCCTCTGATCTCAATGACCCATTCCTCAGAGAAAAGAAGTTACAAGAAGAAATGATGAGGGAGCAACATGAAAAAGAATTGAAGGAGGAACTACTAAATGAGTCGGAACAGGCGAGGTTAGAGCAAGAACTGAAAATGCAGCAACTTCAGATTTCAAGTAGCCCGGCTGATGACGATGGAGATACTGGCCTCTCAGCTGTTGCGATGTATGATTATCAAGCAAGTAAGTGTCTAGTTTCTTTTTTAAAAAAATGAGCAGCTCTAGCTTGGATTTTATTCAGGTTTGTTAGAGAATACCTCTCCGTTCTTGATTATTAATGGCAGTTGACCCATTCGAATGATGATAAGTTCGGATGCTGTAAAGCCCTGAGGGAAAGCTTACTTTTTCAGTCTTTAAATTTAAAAAGTAATAAAGTAACTACAAATTTGAAATAAAAGCAGTGAAAACGAGTATGTACTGTTTAATTTGAAGCCTCCAGCTAATGAAAGGGGTACAAGTATTACCATTGCAGTTTCTGGAAAAACGAACTAAAAGTTGGAAAGAACCTGTAGTCTATGGCTTCTAAAAAGTTCAAAGAAATGTTACTAAGCTAAGATTGAAGTTTTGACATCATTATTTTTGCAAAGGTTATTTTTTGAAATGTAACAAATATAATCAGTAAAATCAGTATCTTAATTTTTTATAGAAAGTCTTTGACTTCCTTCATTCATCTCCCCCCCCCCTCCTCACTCCGATATTTGAAGAGTGAAAAAGACTCCGTTTCTAATTTACTATCTTATTTATTCCATCCACTGAATCTTTGAAAATTAAGTTCATAATTTTGTTTTATTTCTCTTTTAAAATGGTTTTTATCCTATAAAATACCAGATTAGTTGGTTTCTGAATTGGAAAGATCCTCTGGTTCACTTGACTTTTGTTCTTTTTTACAGCTGCAGATGATGAAATATCTTTTGATCCTGATGATGTCATCACTCATATTGAAATGGTAAGCATCACTAATTTACTTCCTATGTTGCAATTTTGTGCCGAGTTAATTTATCAATACATCTATCTAACGTTATATTACGGTTCTTATTGTGTTTAATTCCAGTGTTAATATCTCACACTGAACTCTACTGAACTCGATCGAGTGGAAATGACTAACTAGTTAATATGATATCACAAAGTGGCTTTGGTCAAAGCTCAAAGGAAGTTCGCTTTTTTAGACAAAGCCCATAGTTAAAGCCATTTCAATTAGTGCCACAACTGAGAGGGAACAGCTTAGTGACAGCGTAAGTCCGCAACCACGTATCTCTTTTACGGTGTTTGATAATCTCCGCTCCTATTTTATTTGTTTAAAGAAGAATAAATCGACATCATTCCTTGAAGTTTTTGCAGTATTTTTGTGGCACCGAGGAGAAAGATCATGGCAGTTTTTAAGAATTACCGATGAATAGTTATTCATTCAATAAATTAAATATGACAGGAAGCCGCGATGTCGCAAACCGAGATACCCGGTTGCGGACTTATACTGTCAGTAAACACTCTGGAACTCAACTTTGATCTTGTTCAGTAGCATCAATAAGGTTTTTAGGTTAGCACCTAAAAGATTGGGAGGGTGAATGGGGGCCGGGGACACCTCCCAGTTGAAGGAGGCCAAGAGGGACGATGTTCAAATACTTGTTACTCGGTACAATGTCTACAATTGACCCTCATAGCAAAGACGTGGTATTTAAACTCTGAGTCTCTTCCTATTAATTTGTTATTTTAGCTGAATTGGGGCATTATCACCTAAGACTTCCTAGAAGCTGAGTTCTAATTTTTTTTTATATTTGTGGTGAAATATTTGTCAACTTTAATTGCAGAATTTCTCAAAGTTTTATGCTTTCTGTTTGTAAAAACTGTGCAAGTGTAGATGGTTTTAATTATTTCAATCCAGTTGTGGATTCGTTTTCAAAGTATTTGTTTTTTCAGATTGATGAAGGATGGTGGCGGGGCTTTTGCAAAGGTCACTACGGATTATTCCCTGCAAATTACGTCATTTTGCTCGAAACACCCGAATTTCGTGGAACACGCAACTCTTAATCCATATTCTCAAATCAAATTAAGGTTCAACCTTAACTAAAACATTATCAAATTTAAAAGTTATACGAATGATTATACTCTAAACATGTGTACTGATTATTGGATGGCACATAGCAATAGGCTGGCCATGCTATGGATTTTTGAAGACTGGAAAATATTAATGGAACTGATATTTTCCCCTAGATAATTGTAGGTCCAGTCTTACACAATTAATTCAGATTTTCTCAATTTATATGCATTGATTTTATGACTAACTGGCGACAGGAGTTCATTTTGAATTGTCTGATTTTTTTAACTGTACTATCGCAGTGTTATTCGCCCTATTTCATCGGGCAGTGTCGCAGAAAGAAGGTATTCTAAGGGTATCTCCAACAAGTCAAGAAGCACTAATCTTATTTCCTTTATCATTTAATGTCGTAATGTACCATCAGAAGGAAGTTTAGTGCTTGAGTCTGGCACCTGCTGTCCAAAGAAAATACCGAACATTGATCCATCATCGCTTTAAGTCTCCAAAAATTAGGTTTTTCAAATCCATCCCAGATGAAAAATGAGGTGTGTAATCCTAATAACATTGCTAAGTCATGTCTGGAAAGTCCTTAGATGTATTTGTTAAGATGTTACCGTACAAATAATGCCTTCAATCGATTTAATATTTGCTCAGCTCTCAATTTGAATAGAATTAATTGAACATTTTCTATTTTCACATCTCTGAGTCGATTGTTTCCCTTTTAGTGCGTTGATTAACCAATACTTGTTGCTTCAGAAATGTGCAATTATGTCATCTAATTTTAAACTTAGTTTAAGCCCATTTTTATATTTTTTTAATTTTTAACGCTCTTGTGTTTTGTAACATTATGTGAATTCTGATTATGCGTATGCTCAGAATAGTTATTTGAAATACAAATTTTTATTGAGTTGAATGATTATTGAGAAAGAAATTTCCCACACTAATCATTGTGCTTTTTTGTGTTCATCTTATCAATCATTCCCTCATGCAAGAATGATAGGTTCCATTTCAGTGTGGAAGGAAAAGAGGAATAAAAAANATTTTAAATAATTACGAAAATTAAAAAAAATGGCCAAAACGTGGCAACAATGGAGTCAAATTAAAATTTCTTTGGCATTGGTCGATAGAACGTAATTTTTTGCATCTTTTGGTATAAATACGAGCTCTGTAACTGCATTTCTGCGAAAGTTATGGATGTTTGAAGGTTACGACTTTAAAAAATGGCAACGCTGTTTCCCTGGGGTTCCTGCAAAAACGGAGCTAGCTGGATAAGCCTCTCTCAACTAGTACTATCAGCCCACAAAGTTTCGTACATTCCGGGCTGGGTACATTTTTCGCCTATATGAATAACCCTCTTTTATGATGAAAGATGTGAAAAAGTTTTCAAAGAAAATGAATAAAAATTTATTAGAAATCTTTTATGTAAGAACAGAACAAAAAATTCTCAAAATCATATAAAATTGCACAAACGGAACAAAATTTACAATATCTTATAACTATGATGTATATTCCAGTTAAGTCCATAGAGAACGGGTATGGACTAAACCAGGTTTAGCTGATTGCTGCCTAGACTTCGAGACAGTCAAGATGTTGGCAAAAAGTTTGGGAATATTTATTCTTTCACCTTTTCCCTAGCTGCAATAAATCATTTCACCATTTGATTTTCCACAAGAAAAACTGATTTTACCTTATTATTGTGCAATGCTTCACCAGGTCGATTCAACATCCTTCGAATGGAGCTTGTTGGATTTTCAGATGGTGGCCGAGTTGTTACCTCGAATAGTTGTACAGCAATAAAGCTTTGAATGAGGTTACAATATGTGACCAAAGTTTGTCACAGACTCAAATAAAACCTGTGAATATACAGGGCGATCCAAAAGTTCGGCGCCAGGCTCAGCCCTACATCTTTCAAACAAATTGAGATCGAGACTTGAAATTTTGTGAGAGCTCTTGGGTTAAAGAAAAAGACTTTTAGGATTCCCCAAAATTTCGAGGGGGCCCCCTGAAAGAGAGTAAAAACCTTATGGATTATGGGAAAGGTGGGGAACTTTTGGATCACCCTGTATCTAGGAATCACAGGAAAAAAGGGGCCATCACATTCGACGGTGCATCACCATCTGAGTCTTCTACCTGAACTCTTACAGAAGAAATGAGATGTAGGACAAATATACTTCTGCAAGTATCTTTAACAGGAAATCAATTAAAAAATTAATAAATACATAAAAACAATAGAAAAACGGGGATATTTTCATTGAAAAATGAAAAAAGAAAGTACTTTAAATCACATGTTGAAAAAACTGGAAACATAGGAATTAATCTACACTGAGTTTACTGAAAAATTAAAGTAAATCTTAAGGCGAATTCTGATGCTAGGATTAAGATTTGCCAGGCTGTACGATAAAATTTGAATATTTTACATGGGTTTAAATGGAGAAAAGAGCTGATTTCTCATTACAATCTGCCTATAATGACTGGGATTCATTATTTAAACAGTCAAATTTTTCAGGAGAGCTATTCGTGTCACGATGGGTCAAAAACTCAATTATTGAATTTTTACAGAAAACTCTTTGCATATTATTTTGAAGAATATGTTACGAGCAGTTTAGTTTATTTTTGTACCAAAAAAAGACCGGAAGTTCCTCATTTCTTAATCCAACAATTTTGAGCCTTGAACATGTGAGATCAAAAGTAACAAAACTCGAAACAGCTTTCTCTTAAAACTACATTACTTCGACTAAAAATTTCAAACCACCATGACTCCACTTAGATTATACATTTTTGGACGTTTGAAGTGCTAAAATGTTTGCAGAATATTCCCAACCGGAAAGGGACCAATAACTGAATTTTGAGTTATTCAGGCATTATAAGGTCTATTTTTTCAAGGAAAGTTCTATAAATTGAATTTCTTTTGATTTTTCATGATAGGAACTTAGCTCAAATAATTTCTAAAATATCAGATTCAAAGAAATTCTAGCAGAAATTCTGAAAAAAAAAGAAAAAAAAAAAAATTGTTACTGATCAAGTTTTTCATGGATAAATTTCTGAGGACAGCAGTGTATATCAAGGTAGGCATTGCTAAAAATGATTTCTTCTCAGGAAGTAGATTCACTGTTAAATAGCTACACTAAGCAGGTGTCTTGCTAGGGAAGACACCGTTGGAGCCTTCAGATGTAGTCATATTTACTTCAATAAAATACAAATTAACTGGGAAAATCGTGGATATTTATCTTCGAGGACAATTTTGTTTGCAATATAATCTAAATCATTCGTAAAATTCATGGAAAAATATGCATAACTTTCCTTTAAAATGCATGTTTTGTCCGGGGAGAGGCAACTCTCGAGTGTTCATTCAGCGTTCATTCTCCCTTAGCACGGCTGTACAGTTCTCCCTTCCAGATTTTGCAAGGTAAAAACACTTATGTGCATAGGGAAACTAATAGTACATACGTTGTTTCTGAACTGAGCCGGACTTAGTAGTTCCTACTTGTAAAATAGAGTCCAATTTATTATTACACTAAATACCTTTAGTACCGTATAAGATACATAATTATCCTGGTAGAATAGAATATACACTTGCTAGGGCTTCCTATATAAGAAGCATTCTGTCTGGAAAAAAGACCCTCAAAATCTGGAATGAGGATCTGAGTTTTCACTCAGCATCACAGTAATCCTGACCTTGTTTCAAACGATCAGTGCTCCAAATGTTAAACCCAGTTCTTTGTTGTGTATTTCATGGTTTGGAGGAAAGATATAGCCACATTGTGGTGGCTAACACACTAAAACCTAGATTGAGCTGTGCAAGATAGTGATGGCTCACCGAAGATAGTGCCAATGTTGTAAGCCCTGTGTTGTGTACTAAGTCCTCAGCTGATTTTTTCTCCCTGTCTTCTTAGGAAAAGCTAAGGAACAAACTTAGACATAAAATATATTTGTGTGCAAATAGTAATGGCTAAAACCCGGGGAAGAAAGGAGTGTTGAATAGATGCTATTAGTAGAGATGTCACCATAGGGATTCTCCACTAAATCGAATTGGATTGAAACAACAATGACATAACCTCTTTTGATGCTACCACTGAGAATAAAACGATATACATTGCTTTTCTGTGACATAGCACTAATAGTGTCTATTACACTCGTTGTTGTCAACAACACTGAAACGTCTAGAATAACAAACAATTTTTAAATTACTTAGATGTACAAAACTATGAGGGCTACTATTTCCTTGGTTTATAAATGCTTTTCGTCTTTAATTCTGCTTTTTTTGGAGATGTTAAGTCCTTTGGTTCACCTTGTAGAGGGTTTTGAAGAGATTGCGAGCGATCTTTTCAAACCAACTAAGCACTGACAATGTGCTAACTAAACTACTGAGGCTTGTTTCGAGACAATATTAACAAAAAGGAAACTTTAAACCAGACGATTCTTTGGTCAGGGGAAGCTCATCCGCACAGGTCGCGGTTGTTCCTCAGAGAATGAGTTATACTTGTGCGATGGTTTCATGAAAAAAGGTTTGAAAGCTCGATTCTGGATTTCTGAAAAAAAGAAAACAAAGATCACTTGCCAGGATTGTTCCATTTTTAGTACTGCCATCAAATACTTTTATTCACATTATGAAGGTAATTCCTTCCAAATGAAGGAGGAAATTAGGCGTTAAGGAAAAGAAAATAAATTAAGAGGAATATCGAATTCATCTTAATCTTAACTTCTTGCGAGAGTTTGTATAATACTCTATTGGGCAATCCGGAGGAGCAAACGGAGCTGATAGAAATTCTTCTCTTTATTGTGAATTTTTGACACCAATTTTTCCATTCATAGGGTTTCATCTTTTACTCACATTACACTAAAATTTTAACAGGAAATTGATAATTTGTTTCAAAACGGAGAAATATCCATTCGGTAACAGAGATTTATATGGCAAACAGTTGTATGATACTGTGAAAAATAATATTGACTCCAAACTTTACATCAACTTTCGGTACATCTATTGAAAGAAATTTCAAGAAAATTTTCTATTTCATTGACCTAGAATGACAGGTTTTGACATCATCATGGACAGATTGGCTCCTTACCTGGTTGACTGTTCGATCCTGAGACATTATTGGCTTTGCGCAAATGCAATGGAATGACTGCTTCCCTAAACTGGAGTACTTTAGTGTCAGTTACGGCACAATCTATCTGCATCATTGTGACTAGTTCGTTGGTTGTAGAATCTGAAATGAAGGTAAGAAAACCAAAGTGGATAACCTTTGAGGATATGTTAGATGCAGGAAGTTTATATTGCAGAGTAGCTACTTTAGAGAAACAAACCATCATCAAACGTTTTACTCATCAGCATCGTGACCATATTGGAGGAGGAAAAACACTCTCTCCTGTTTAAGTCAAAATTATTATTGCACTTTTGGGGCAGGTTTTGAAATTTTTGCTTTGTGGACCTGAGGTGTAGTTTGTGGTTTGGGCCCATTAAGCTTTCTCATCTTTGAAGGTCTGAGGGACCTCCCTCTGAAAAATTTGAAATGTCAACCTCCTGTAAAAACAATCCAATGCATATTCCAGGTCACACCTTAGAAAGGGAGAAAAAGGGAAACTTGGGTGGGGGGGGGGGGAGAGAAAAAAAGAAGAGGAACTCACCATTGGTAGAAAGAGCAGGAAACACCAAAGACATTTTAGGTCGAGCGGTTTTGTTAAGAGCTAGAGCAGGCAACAGTAGGTGATCACCGGAGAATGAAACAACGTAGAATGTATCATCGCGTCGATTAAGTGCTTCTAGTAATGGTTCGTTTGTGTTTGGAATGTGTTCACCACTATAGATATCTATAGCATGGTTCATGCGCCTGCAAGAGTGAATCCCCAAGCAAGTGAGTCAATTCAAATGATTAAAATCAATCCATAAATCAAATAAGCATTTTAGAAGTTCTGTTAGATAAAGATTATATTAAGCAACTGGCTGAACACTTGGAATCTGGTCAAATCATTCGCTTTAATAGCTTCAGAATAATTTTGCAAGGCTCCAATGACTTCAGCCAAATATAAGGGTAAAAATTATTGAAAACATTTGTACTTAATTGGCTGAAACTTAAATTGAAGAGAAAACTTGGAAAATCAAAAACTATTATGGAACTTGCACAGATTAGGAATTTAGAGTGCTTTGATCTCAAAAAAGGAAGTTATGAATTCATGGATGGATGAGGTAATAATGATGGAAATATATTGATGGCTAAATGCAAAAAATGCAAATCTCAATTGTAATGTTTCAAAATCTCTAATTATGTTTTATTTTTCTCAAGGAAAACTGATTTGAGTGTTTCCCCCTAATTTTTTGTAATTCTCTTAGAACAGGTGAAAAAAGTTTCTTAAAAAATATCAATAGTAACTGTTGGTTAGTTTCAATTTAAAAAATTAAACACGAGCGGAGACTTAAAAAACTGCAATCTGAGATAAACATTTTGAAACTTCAAGCATTGAAATGACAGATTCATGAGCATTGAAATGTCTGAGTTCATCAGACAAGTTACCGTTGTTTTTTTTGAGCGATACAAGAAAATATTCTTTCCAAAACTGTAGTTCTAATGATCCTCCTGATCTTAAAAACCGTAATATATCAAACAGTAGGAAAATGCCACCAGAATGAAGCAAAGGAAAATAAGAAATTATTGAGGATCTGCTCTTGAACAAAATTTTTCAATACAGGGTGTTTCAGACCACCCGTACCAGGCCTTTTTCTCGGTTGGTTTAGGTGGTACGAAGTCGGAGACCGCGGGGTTGAAAAGGGAAATGACCCCAAGGATTCCGAATTTCGTGGTCCCGAAACCCCCCCACCCCCCCTTGGGGGGTAAAGGGGGGTCACGATGCTAAAAGTCACGATTCCCGACCGAATTGCGGATAGATCGCATCAGAATTGGAAAGCACGGAAAATTTCACGTGGAATTGACCCCTAAAAATCCAAAATCGGACCACCCAAGGCCCAAAAATGACCCCCTAAAGAGGGGGACAGTACCCCCCTTCATAATTTCTCTTTGGTCTCAAAATTGACGTAAATTCTCCAGAAAAAGACGGTTTCCCAGGTAATCGACCTCGNTGTATGAAATTTTCGCTAGAAGACTATTTGCTTAATTCTTATGTTTGATGAGGGATGAGGTGCACTGAAAAGTATTTATAAAGGACTAAAAAAGATACTTACGAGTTGACTATCCTATTATTTTTGAATTTTAATTTTTGTCTTGGAACTGGTGGGGTAAATTTCGTTGGAAGGTACGGTAGCATAAGCTGACTCAGTAGATTCTTAAAGCCAGAAGGTTTTTCAATACTCTTCGTTCCACTGACATTATCAGCTTCCTCAGGATCGACGCCAATCCAGCGCCTGAGTTCGCTATCCAGTCTGAAAAAGCCAGATACAAACTCAAATTACTGAGAGAAAAACAAGAGACCTAGAAAAAATAGAAATATCAGTTAAGGTCTTTTCATTACTTCTTGATTTCGAACAGTCAATGACTTGAAATGTACTAAGGGTGTCCCAAAAATCTTGTTACCAACCTTCGTATAAAACTCGATGAGTATTTTTACAGTACGATTTAATTTCTTAATATTATTATTTTTACAGGATTTTGACTGAACAGGAAAAATGGAAAACTTGCAGATATTTCAGAGACTAAGGTTTTAGAGAGGTCTTCTGAGTTCTCCTTCTTTTCTTTTACTAATTATTATTAATAAGTGATCGGAAAATATGTGTAAGATCATGATACTAGGTTGAAACCTGTTTCAATTTACCTTATTGATTCAGTGTGATTTATATACAGAGGACAAGTTGGTTGATGTGTACTGCTACGGTTTTTGAAGTCCACATTAGGTGGAAAATCATGGTTAATGGAATTATTGGTGTTCATCAACAGCGATTCTTCTTCCGTCCACAGCAGAGAGCGACCATTGTGATTGTTACTGCTTTGCCTAAAATTTGACTCGGTAAACTCAAGATCTTCTCGTGGTCTACTAAACAGGCTATTTTTTCAAACAAAAATAGAGGCAATAAATTAAGATAATAGCATTATTAAGCCAAAGTACACGATTGAAATACATAATAAAAGGTGCTTTTAAGATAGATAGGAAACTGGCGCTGTTGCAACCACCATAAAAATTTACATACAGTAAGACCTTGATTTATCGGATTGTGATCTAACAGATACCATGATTTAATGGATCGATCTTCTGGTCCCTTCAAAGGCTTCAAGGTAGTCAAATTGACGAATCAAAATTTGTAAATTATTGTTATTTGTTAATTTGCCATTCAATAGATCGATTCGTCAGTCCCGTAAAAGCCTATAAATCGATGTTTTACTGTAGTTTTGTCATTTGAAGAGGCTGCACAATGGAGTCTGCTTCATGCTATGAAAAATGAATGCATCTGATTTGGTAAAATTTTAAACTTCAACCTTCAAGTAAAACTTCATTAGGAGGGTAAAATATATCATTCATGGCATGACCAGAAGTGGATAAAAATTGCTCCGCATGAAATGCGATGCAATTTTTGATGAAATGAAATATTGAAAGGAGAACATAACAGGGCTGATAAATCTATATCACTGATGTGTACTAAGTGATAAGCCTGAGCATCTGCTTGAGAGCTGATAGATCAAAATGAGCCTGCTCGATGATTTTTAATTCCTGCATTTTTGAAAAGTAGGGTGCGTTCAGTTTATAGGAATTTTTCTGAATTTTCATCAACGATACAAGCCACAAAAAAGAATTCAAAGTTGCGTAGTTTTACCTCTCATTTAAGTGGGCATCACTGAGAAAACCATAATGAAATTTATAAATATCCGCCCTATCACCGGTGCACTTTTGAATGCGCCCTCACACTGCCACAATCCATGGTCTGTGCAACCACGCTTTAAAAACAGCTGTACAGACTACAAATTACAACATAGAGGTTGCGTAGTCTAAAGAGCACCATCTTTACCCCTTTTTCATCTTTGAATTTTGCCTATTTTTCACGTTCCTCTGTCCTCTTTTGGTCAACAACCAGATGACTTAGAAAACGACCCTTTGAAACTTAAATGTTACCATACCTGAAAGAATTAAAGTTGAGAGACATCATAAATAGGATTGCTAAGACCGCGGTTGTTTTCTTTGTTTTCGTGATAAAGGAGGATTTGCAGGCAGGATTCGTGGACTCATACCTTGTCAAACGCTCCAAGAGCACTTTATTAATCTGAAAAGTCATTCAATGAATTAAGCGTGAGAAAGTGATCTGTAGCGTTATTGCTTTCATTGGACGGCAGAATGAGAAACCAGCATGCTGGTAAGAGTGATAGGCTGAAATATGCCCATATCACACCATCAAAGTAGAGCCCTTAAAAGGCTCATTGATGACATTGTCAACTTTAGCCTCTCTAAGATTGTCAGCCCGATAATCTTTGAAGGTAGTCAATATGTTTGGGACACATTATGGATCACACATAAAATTTTTCAAGGAAACTTGTGAAGAACTAGCTGAGAAATTAAAGAAATAGTGCCACTTTGAAAGCTCCACTTTGATCAGATGATACAGACTGGACAGATCTCCATGCTGAATGTCTATTTATACTATTATTTTTTTTCACCGATAGAGTTTCCAATTGGTTCCATTTTAGCAAAAAGTTGTCTTCACTACATACTTGTTCGAGCGAATTTTCAATCGGTGTCTTAGAAGCCTATTTTGATATGATTTCATCATAATTATTATTAACATGTATTTTTTAAGTATGAAGTTTTATCTTATCTTTTTTCTCTCTGCTATCTAACTTTTATCTCTTAAGTTCCCATTACGGATCAACAAAGTTAAAACAGCAAGAGGTACATCCAGAAATCAGCCAAACAACAGGATTTTAACATTCTGAATCTACTTCTTTTACATGTATAAACTCATTTTGACTGTTTTTTTGAGCATACCTTCTTACTATGACTCTCAGAAGGTGCCTCATTGAAAACTACTTTTAGTGAGCTGCCGAAAAGATTAAACCAAAATATGAAGATTTATTCACCATTGAACACACTCTATCTTTGCATAGATTCAGCCAAAAACAGGTTTTCATGGCCTGTCCCTCTATTCCAAATATAAACCATATTCTGTGGTAATAATCGACTGCAGGGGAATCGCAGTTAAAACAATTCTTTAAAATATGAGATACTTAGGTGAGGAGATTTTTTCTTTAAACTTACATGTTTTAACTTCTTGTTTTCATGTTGAAGTTCAGAGATCTGATTTTCTAAGGATGTGACATACTCTTTTTTCTTTTTCCGGGACAGACATGCTGATTCTCTATTTTTGATCATTCGCTCTTTCCTCTTCAGAGCTTTGAGCTGTGAAATAAATGATATAATTAATGCAAACTTTCAAGTTGAGACTAATTTTTATCTACAGATAGAATATTGTGGGGTTTTGTTGAACTTCAGGACATAAAAATTCTAGAGGATTCTAGATTTTTATCGAATTTTAATTAATACAATCTTCGACTGCATTTCACTGATGACAATGGAGGCGACGCTATGCAGCACAAGTTCTGCGTTTTTTTGCACCTAAAATTTATAGGAATTATAATTATTTTGAAAAATTATCCCCTTCGCAGGTGTTCAAAAAATGAGGTTCCTTGCACAGATCAGGAATTGCCTTAAAAGTAAGTGTTACTACCGTAAATTTTAGCAAAAAATGTGTTTTTGATCTTAAAAAGCGAAAACAGCTTTTTGGATCGAAGGAAAGAAGTTTGCAAGTGTAGTAAAGAAAATAAAGTTTCTCTGTGACATTATTTGAGACGATGCCATGTAGTTTCAACCACTGTGAATCCAATTTAACATGACTACTATAGAATTCAATAAAGATCAAACAATTTTATGTAAAAAAAAGTGGCAAAAATATTTATTTCGAACAGCAATGATATTGCCAGCTGAGAGTACATAACTTCTCGTTACGATTGTGACCAGAAAGTGATAAAACGAACACAAGTGGGTTTGATTTTTCTTGTGGCATCATAAAATCTGCTAGCCCTGTATTTTCTGTTCAGAATGGGGTAGCATTTTTGACGACTTTGAAGGTCGTTTTCTCAGCTAAAATTTGATGAAATGAAAAACAGAAACACGTAGGTTTTCAAATTTCTTATGTACACTTTGAAAATGAATTTTAAAAAAACTGTGCAATGGCTTAGTTTTAGGGGAAAAAAACTCCCGGCTTGACTAATACCTAAAGAACATTGTTGCTCAAAGGGGAAATTCTCTGGTAGAGATTGCTTGTATTAACTAGAAAGTGTCAGTGCAAAAAGAGTAGTTGTGAGGCTTTGAAAATGAAAGAAGAACCAACCTGTGAGTCGTACTGTTGTGGTGACGTGACAGTAGGAACCGAGACTAGAGGTGGTGCAGGCAATACCAATACTTTATTAGGCCGAACTGGGGTTAAGTTAGGAATCAGTTTTGCTGGTACTACGGGGGGTGGCTTTATAGAATTTAAACTTGCCATAGAAACATATACTTTGGTGGTTTTTCCTACAATCATCAAACAAACCAAAAAAGAGAAAATTAGTTTTTTGACAGGTTTATATCAAGGAATCACGATCTAAGATCAGAGAAAAATTTCATCGCAAAAATTGATGTAGATTCCTCCCAAAGCAAGGGTGCAAAATCTCCACGATTCTGCAATTGGAACTTCACATTGTAACAACTCGAAGAGGTATTATTGGAAGAATTGGATCTAGATCTGCACATTTGAAAGCGCAGACTAACAGGGTGAGAAGTAAAAAAAAAACAATGAGCATTTGCTTGGAGTCAGCAAGATGAAGCAGATGTCTGTTCTTTGACAATGCGCCAAAGTTTTTTCACTAAGAATAGTAAAATTAATTTTTTTTAAAATTTTATACGTTCAGTTAGAGAATAATATCATCGTTCAGTGAACAAAATAAGAATTTCAGCCAAGAATATTCAAGGCGCACTTCTCAATAAAATACTCTTTATATGATGGGATTTTGTTTTTTCTTTCTTTATTCCCTCTGCAGGCTGATTATTGAAATTGATAGACAAAGCAATAGACAAAGAAGACAAAAAGGATATGGATGAATTCTATTGGTGGAAGCGGGAGGTTGCAATGGACAAAGGACGTAAGTAATAGACTAACTAACGGCAACCCACGAGAGACCCCATAGTTAATCCATCATTCACTTCCTTAGTCTATAAGAACCACCCATTTCAACCAATAGGTTCGCTCTATACTCCTTATGTCTTCTTTGTCTATGGCCTCGTCTATCAATTTCAATAATTGACCTGCAGGAGGAGGATTAGACATGGGAATAAAAAACATTTGCACTTTTAATGGTCAGTCAACTTACCATTATTGCTGCCATTACTGTTACTACTAATCGGAGGTGGGGAGGAAACTGTGGGAGTCATAATTCTGATATCACTGGTTGGAAAAGTATCCAAGACTATTATTGAGCCAGGAGAAGGAGGCGGGCTGTAACCATCCTGTCCTGGAGAGATAGGAGGTGTTTCAACTTCAACTTTGATCTGCGAATAGAATTTACGATGTTGATGAATCGTTGTCCAAGATAGCTTAGACAAATTAAATATAAAATGGAGCATTATATGAACTAAATCTAGCATTAAACCTACTCAAAAGTACTGATCGAAATAAAATCTGCAAGTGTGTTTTGGATTAACAAAAACTATAAATTGGGCAAATTCAAAATGCTGAGGGGAAAAGATAGATGAAACTTTTAAAGGGCAATAAACCATCTTTAAAGCTGCACAAAATGACAGGCAGTCTTAGATGCTTTTTTACAGGGTTGTCACAGAATATAGAAAATAGAATTCCTTGACAATTCCATATGTTAGATGGTTTGAAAAACATAATTTGAAATATAAGTCTGTTGTTCGAAAAGTTAAACCCATTTTAGAAAGGATATAAAGGCGACTTAACAATTTTTCCCTGGCACTTTCATCATTTTTCCTAATGTCTTCAGGTTTTCATTTACTTTTTTTAGTTTCCTGACAATTCCCAGTTTTCACTGTGGCAACTCTGTTCTTATGTCAAAATAAAGCGATCAATGGATATTATAAGTACAAAGATCATTTTCCAGACAAGTTAATGATTTTCCAAAACTTGTAAATTGCTCATCATTTATCAGGATCTTAAACCTGTAGAAAATAACTAACCACAAGTTGTCCAAAGTTTGACAAACTGACTCATATTTATCTAAACTGATAATTGTACTTAAAGAAGTAAAATTAATCCTACCTGTCCATTATTTGTAGTTGATGGCCAAGATTCTAGACTTGTTTGACTTACAGACGAGGATCCTGAGGATGCTGGCTCTGCTTTGATGTCTTCCCCAAAATTGTCGAAATCTGAGAAAATTAGAAGACAGAATCAAGAGTATTAGAAACTGAGTCATATGTGTTCATTAAAGAAGCTGTGAGCTAAAGATCTTCTGTTAATGTTTAAGATTTGATCAATATTCAAATTTTTATCCGCATAATTGAAGGGAGCTCTAAGGTAGGTATTTTAGTATTTCCATTGGTATGATTCTTACCTTGTGAGGAAATTGTCTTGAGATCATCTGATGAAAGGGTCCATGGAAATGTTTCATCTTCATTTCTAAAATCCATGAAAACATCTGAACCTAGCACAGATTCGGAGGATGTATCTTCCAGGAAAGGCATCTAAAAATAAGAATAAAAAAATATCACATCTAAAAGGACTATTGAGTACACATTTTTTAGAAGTTGTAAGCTCTATTAAACGGCAAAATGTCTACAAAAACTATACATTTACCAGTATGGAGGAAAAAGAAATGAAACGTGCATAAATCATTTACCAGGAAATGAACTACAGCGTATTGTGGGATTCTATGTTATGGTAGATTGGGATTTGTCTTAAATAATTTAATGGAAATTTCATTCCAAGGCGAATTCTCCCCCCTCCCCCCCAAATGGATCTGGACATTTTTGGGTTGAAAATGGAAGCATAAGAAAAAAAAGGGAACGAATTCAGCTTTTAATAAGATTTTATTCCTGTTGTAGCCTGCAGCTATTGTATGTAATATTTTTAAACCCTTTAAATTGACTTTTTGTGAATTCTTCTTTGATCTGGTCTTCGAGTCAACGATGATGTAACCTTAGAACCTTGAGGATTACACCTTGATCAAAAGGCAAAATTAACCCTAGAACCCCAAGATTTAACCTGAAGATTTTTCTTCGGAGGAATCTTTTTGTTCTTCTTTTATCTGATTTTTGGTTCAGCTAGGATTGGTAAATAGAAAACTTTGACTCTTTGGTGCTGCTTAAAAAAAATAAGGACAGATTCAATGATACATTATTCTGTGAACTGATGAAGTCAGACCAAAAATCTGCTATTCTAATTTTTACTTAGAGTTACAATGTATAAATAATAAATCAAGATGGGAAACTTTCGGTTGCGCCTGAAAAATAGGCAAACTGTAAGGATTAAGTTTCATCTTCAGGACGAAAAAACTTACAGAATATCTGGAACAAAATAATAATCATACGTTCAATTCTACTTACATCAAAGCTACTGTGGAATTTGAGAAAGTCATCTTCCGTTTTAAGTGATTTTTCAAGATCTGGAAAAAATACGGGAAAAAATTAGAAAAAGAAATTAACAAATAACAAACATGAACAAGTTTTACTTCAGGTTCAGGTCCAGGTGGTCAAGCATTTGCTGAAATCATTAGAAGAACTACGTGTTACTGTGTTTGAATTTGTATGATGAGAATTGCAAATCATGCATCTATTTCTTCAGAACACTGTACAGTGTGTTTCCCACTGATTCTTGGGTTGCATCACATACTGAAAAAATCAGCAGAGATCAAGGGACTCATTTTGCAAAACCCTCATGGGCTTCACACAAGATTTGCCAATGTTTAATCATCTGGACAGGGCAGGAAATAGTCCGACTAAAATTAAAGATGTCGCAACAACCAGCCAAAAATCTAGGCAAAGGACCCTGCACACTCGTTAATGGATGCTAATCTAGAGTTGTCACTGTGCTAACTTTCTACAAGGCACCGTTTCCGCAGTGTTACACACAATCCGCAGTAGAAGTTTTGATAATTACTGGAATAAGTGAGGCCGGCGCGACGATTTAACACGGAAAACCTGAGCCGGTGATGGGTAAGGAATAGGGTGGGAGAGAGAGAAAGAATCTGATTTGGACGATGAAATGAAAAGGCGTGCGGAATCTGAGATAAGACAGCTAGGTTTCCTTGGTTTTTGACAGGTGCTAAAAGATAGATATCGCCACACTAGCCTCTCTTATTCAAGTAACAATCGAAACGCTTGTGCGAAATGCTGCAAAAACAGTGCCTTGTAGAAAGTTGGCGCAACGTTGACTATTGATCAGCATCCAAAGCCGAGTTTAATGCAATAAAACAATTGGAAATATCGTGGTGCCCGTCCCTAAAAGGAGTTTGTGGGGTCGTTTGACAAACTCTGTTGAAAAATTGAGCCATGTATGAGATGTGAGCATAAGTATTAAAAGTGTTATGCACAAGTGAGAAATGTGTTGAAGGCTGAATGCAAAAAAATTAAATGAGAAAAGGAACTTTTGAAGAAATTCGAATGAGTCATGAAATGAATAGCCTTTAAAAACTACCGCATTCATTAAGTGTCAAGAGTCATTGACAAATGAATCGGTTTCTATTGGACAGGCGTGAATCCAAAAAATCATGAGTCCTAGCTTTCGTTGATCACGCAGGATGAGCGGGCTCATTGTTTTTTTGACTGACGCCCGTCTAACACAGACCGATACAGATGCAGTGAGTAATGACTTGTAACACAGCCTATTCTCACGTTTCATTCCTTGGGACTTTCGCATATTTTCAAAGACAGATACTTAGGAAATTCTAAAATCTGGAAAGCTGCAGTGGTGGCATGCATTTACTCATCGACTTCATCCACTGAAATATTGTCTGCCCATTGGGACAACCTAGCCAATCATAAAGCTAGGAGATGCTTTAATTTCCAGATTCCCTTCTAACTTGAAGGGAGTCAATTTAAACTTCTAAGGAGTCAACTCAAGCATTCAATACCATTTTAGTTCAATATGAAATTTTGTTAAATTCAACCCTCTAGAGGCCTGAGGTACTTGTGGTTTGAAGGCGCAACAAGGATGGTTCCTTGTTGTCCGTATACTCACAGGGAGCAAACTGGCCTAACCAACGTGACTTTCGAATGATCTACATCATCCTGTATCATCCAAGAAATTCCTTCATGAGCAGCTCTGCAAATAAAATAGAAAACACGCATGAAATGATAACAGACATAACCATGAAATCACTCATACCTATATTGAAATCCGTTACTATTCTCGGAGAAAATAGACTTTCTTGAAAACCGGTCTCTGATTCGATCTCCATTGAAATTAGCTTGATTTGGTCGCAGTGCAGGAAATATTAAAAACGTACATTTGGAAGAATACTTCAGCACAACACTTGATGGTTCCTTAGATCAAAACAAACTATACACGTTGTCACTGATAGAGATAATGCCCGCACACACGAATGCCGCAAGAGATAATATCCATAATGACTAGCTGATAAGACACAAGCGCGGAGGTTCGAGAGACTAATGCTATTATACTTGAAACTCTTGAAGACTCCGTTGGAGATTGAAGATTCTGAGGAGGCTGGAAAGTGCCTTGTCTTGTCAAAACTCAAATTGTTTACATTCGACGTTCGCCATTCTGCTGACTGCCGATCGTCGCGAACCGACCGGTTTGCGACCTCTGCGCAGGTCCTCGAGGCAAACACCGTGAAACTGCAGGGGTCATTCAACTTATCACTTCTTTCGACGGAATTTTTTTGTTGCAGGCGAGCATTCTTACGCGTCAATCTGCGATAATGACTTTGACGAAAGCTTGTAACAAGGATATCGTCAAAAGGTCATCTGTAAAGCTACTGCTCCTTCATTATTCGTCCCTGCATTGCACCGATGAAACCTTCACTGCTCCAAAGGACTCGCATTTGCTTATCGGCAAATTGAAGGCGAATCTAACAGCCCACCAAGAAATTGAGAACATGCGATGGGCCCTGCAGGATATTTGGAGACAATTTTACATTTTTTTTTCATTCATAAAAGTACCGATCTGCATGAGGAAACTAATTGTTATGCATTGGATAATATTTCATTTCGGCCACTTGTTGAAACACCACGTTGGCGAACAACAGAGGTGAGAAATGAGAAGTGAATCGCTCAATCCCTACTTTGTTCGTCATCCATCAGACTGCGCCACTTGCGCACATAAAACGCCTTCAGAGAGTCGAGTATGTAATGAGCTAAAATCAGCACGCACAACATATTCGTAACAACAATTGCTGCAGACGAAGCAGAAGGCGAATTTTTCAGTTAAAAAAAAGAGTATGATCAGCTTGCAAAGAGAAGGTACGTATTTGATCGACATAAATTGAATGAAAAATAAATGCGTGAATTGGTCGACGTGAACTATCGACACCGATTCAATGGACAAATAAATAAAATCCGGATCAAAATCAGTGAAAAAACTTGCATTTACCATGAAAATTTCAAATTTCGATACCTAGATAGTAGGGTCAGCTAAGATTTTGATTTTTCGCGATTTTAAGTCTACACGTATCATAGAATACCCCCTGCAAACCGTTTTTGGGTACATTTTTGTCGCACTTTTTTTTGCTCCAACACCACTGTGCGGGCCTTTTGTCGGCAACAGCACTCGCCTTGCGAGTCTCTCGCCGACCCGCGTGTGCGAGAGAGACGGAAAAACGCGCGGGAGAAGCTAGCAGGGAAAATCTGCTCACGTGATCGGGCTGGTTTGTCAAACTTGCGGCTCCTTTTGGTAAAACGTACCAATCAATTTCATATAACGCAAAAAGGCGAGAAACGCCCAGAGTGCAATATAATGTAATGTTATGTTCGTCCTCTTCCCTGAATATTTTTAGGACATGTTTTCAGGCCGAGTTTTCTTTAAAAGTTCATTACCAGGATGGATCGGCGGTGCTCTCTGACTGAAAATTGTATATGAAAAGAGCAGAATCGAAACGAAGGGGTATGAAGGTTACGCCACATAGCTTTGTTTCGCCTTCAATTTTCGAAGTAGACCAGAATGAATACCCCATGTAGCCACTAATGTCTATGCGACCATGCATAAGTTGGTTTACAAGTCTTGATGCTAACTCTATCGTTTTAAAATTCAGGTCTTGATGATTCATTATAGATACCCATCAATAAAAAATAATTATTCACTCTACATTTTAAATAAGGAACTCAGTACTTCTTCGACGTACATGGTCTCACCGACTATGCGTCGGCGCTCGAAGAATATCAAAAGTTGTATGAAAAAACATTTTGCGCCGATGCAGATTCATTCCTATTTTATTTTGTCAATGAAGATTTGTGTAGGTTATTTTTTGGAATTAATAATATTTTTTCTTCATGCTGCGCGGTCGTATACAGTTACCTAACTTCTTTCCCTCAAGAAAAAATAACACAACGGTGGAGATGTCTTAGTGTCGCAACCGAGTTTAAGCATTCATCATTGCAGCGGGATGATAATTGAAATTGATAGACAAAGCAATTGACTGAGAAGACAAAATGGAAATGGAACAATCCATTTAAGTAGTCGAAACTGGTCGTTGTTATAGGCTAAAGGGGAATATGATGGACCGCAACTATAGGATTTTTGGTCGGTTGCCGCCCGTTAGTAGCCTGTACATAGCTCCTTTGTCTGTTGCAACCACCCCGCTCCACCAATGGGATCGCTCAATTTTCTCTTTGACCTATTCCCCTATCGCTTTGTTTATCGCAATTTCAATAATCAGTCTGCAGTGCGCCAACCGCGCGGGTCTTCTTGGCGGGAAATTAACACGAAGGGGGTGGCAGCCCTTTGTTATGACGAAGGAAAACATTGTTGCCCAGCAACGTAACGCCAGGCCCCCCAGAAACGAATCATAAACGCATCAACTTCATATAATAATAAGTGCGTAACCGGTTGAGAGCTTATTCCCATGTGTGAAAATAAGAACAAAACAATGCACTTTCTCCTCTCGCTCGAATTTTACTAGATCTACCTCCCTCGCGAATGAGAGACCGAGAGCTTTCCGCGGTGTCAAGTTTAAATGCTTAGCGCCACCCGGCAGTCAACCGTAAGTCCATGGGCGCGTGGTGATTTTTACAGTAAAACAACGTTCTCTCCCAATTTACTGAAGTGCCAAATCACCATTTTTCTTGTGCAAATTGGGATACATGAGGGAGGATGACCACACAGCTCAGAACGGTGGGCTTCCTGGTATCAGTTTCTGGACAGATAAAAACTGGAGATTTTCCTGGTTGCAGCAAAGTTTACTGTAAATATTCATTCACACACGGAACCGATTGGGAAATGACCTCTGTGAGTAATTTTTTTTATACTAGATGGCAGCCTAACCGATTTTCTGTGTCGCCGAGGAGAGCTGTAACGGCCGAATTTTCGAAATCGAGTTTTTTTCTAAAATTCTAAACACTTCATCGGACGAGTGAGCTGTAATTACTGCTGTCGTGTGCAAATTGACAACCTTTCTTACTGATTTTTTATCTTGAAGGTTTGCTTGGTTTCACGTCCATAGTGCCAAAGAATGTAATTTGTATGTCCTGCGCAATTTTAACACATTTTTTTAAAAAGAAAAAAATTATGTGAAATGTTAAACCATCATAAACAAATAAGCAGTTTTTACATACCTATATAAAACGAAAAAAATATCATACTTTTATTTTTCAAAAAACACCGTGTGAAACGGGTTTCCTGCGTATGTTATCTTACGTGAAAAATTTTAAAGTTTTCTGCTCAAACAAAATTTCGATCTATGTTCTCAAAACTTCAATTTCATATATTATTCAGAGAGAACATACACTGGAAAAAAACACACTGCATCTAGAGTGCAGACTCTTGAAAACATTGACAAGAAAAAGGACTCTTGATTCAATCAGATTTAAGCTTAAATCATAAGGAAATCCGCTCAAATTAAGAGGCTTGGTTCTTGATTTAAGCTTAAATCTGATTGAATCAAGAGTATTTTTTCTTGTCGATGTTTTTAAGAGTCTGGACTCTAGATCCAATGTGATTTTTTTTCCAGTGTACAATACAATTGCGTTTTTAAACTTGCTATCATCTCGGTAACGCGCGGCAGTGATGAGCTTCAGGCCCTCATTAACAGCCGACAAAACCATCGAGGCATGACGATAGTTTTGTCAATTTGACTTATTTCTAGTGGAGTTATCCACTCACGTACTCGGGATATAACCTGCAGCAAATCAGTGGCAAAGCGTGAGTGATCGATTATCGATATTTTCCCATTTGAAGCTATCGTAAAGAATCGAGTATTGAGGCGTTCGTAGCGATCACCCTGTTTCGATTCTTATCCATAGGTTTAAATGGCGTATCCATCGATATATTGCAAAAGCACGCCACGCCACTGCAGCAAACGTGGATCCTCAGACGGCAAAAAATTGACTATGCCTCATTCTGCACCGTTCAAAATTACGCGCATGTATGTGAGTAAATCTTAACAGACGAGATTAGAGTATCAGCCCTGTTCGACTATATAGTTTGTGTACAGTCTAAATTTGACTGCATTTTGAAATTAAGAACTGTAATTTCGAGCTAGTTTTAGAAACAGTTTTTGTGCCTTTAGTTTCCGCAGGTAGTTTCCTCCATGGATGAGCTACCCTGGTAAAAATTGGCAGTAGAATCTGTGTTCCAAAATACCATAGATCTACAGCCGGCTGTAAGATTTCCAATAGCTTCTATAGCCGGCAACACAATTTCTTTATAGCCGACACTTTTATAGCCGATGGAGATTAAGCAACAGCCTGGCGATAAAGTGTATGCAAAACGTTACTAATTACGGATGCTGGGACTCAGTGAGTTTTTGGACTACCGCTCTCTTTTTGTGCCGTAGTATCTTGATTTATTTTGCGAGGAAAGCTCCGTACTTTTGAAGGATGCCTGTCATTCCTAATATGTTGGAGCGCCTTCAATTTCGTATGATACCGTGCAATCCCTCTGGTGTGAAATAGTTGCTTCAAGCGCCGCGGGCGGGCAGCCAGCGCTGAACGCGCATTGGCGCCTACAAACCTAACAGGGATACTTCACGCATTGCGCAGTGCGTGAAGTATCCCTGTTAGGTTTGTAGGCGCCAGTGGGCCACCGTTCCTTTTTGTGTTAGGCTCTAATATTTAATCTCACGGAGTCAGCGTTTTTCAACTTATGACTTTGAAATGTTTGCACACTCTGTATGGATTATTCTCATTTTAATTGATGAAAAAAAATATGTAGTAAAGGAAAACATAATGTGCGTTTTGTAAATATTACGGTGATTCCGTACAGACTTAAGGATTTACAAAGCACACGAATTTCTACACAATTTCTTATAGCCTTTTTTAGCCGATGGCGAAAAAGCAACAGCCAGGCGATAAAAGTATAAAGCCCGGCGATAGAAACTGTAGCCCGGCTGTTTAATTTTCATCGCTTCGTGTAGCCCGGTCGTATGATTTTTTCCACTTTCTACAGCCAGCTATATGATTTTCTATCGCCTTCTTCAGTCGGCTATAAGAACTCTTATGGTATTTTGAAACGCAGCTCCTATCGCCAATTTTTACCAGGGTAAAAATGGACCACGTTTAGCGGGAGGGAACCAAGCCACATCAGCCATTGCCATATTTACTGGGCAATTTAATTTTGTACAAGAAAATGTGTGTGGGGATTCCTTGGAAAATTTTAAAGAATTTGCTTCGCGCTGTGCAGAAAATTCACTGAAATTTGCACAAAAATCCGCAGAGCCGTTTTCAAGTAATACATAAAATTACTAAATTAAACTTGGTAATAGCTTATGTGGCTTGGTTCCTTACTACTCAACGCCGTCCTATTCATCTGAATCGTCAGAACGAAGTTTTACCAAATCTTTTGAGAGGCGCAAGATGTGTACATAGATAACAAATTACAAAAGCAAATCGTCGCGTAGATAACTATTCCTGTAAGTTATCTGGCCTATCTCAAAAATCGAAGGCGAAATATCAATGTGTGCGCAACCTCCAAACTTCTTTCGTGCCCACTCTGTCTCCTCAGAGTTTTCAGTCGGGAAGTGCTACATATCGATGTCTACTTTAAATTACATTTTGGAATATGTAACTACACTTTATTAAGATATTTCTCACATTTTCTTTCAGGGTATCGACGAAGGAATCACGCAAACATCCAAAAAAAGTCAAGATGACCAACAGATATTCGTTTGGAACTTCCCGATTGAAATAACCTTTAGGAGCACAAACCCATACGGATGTAAGTTTACTTTTTCAAATTTTTCAATATTGGGCTTCATTGTGCGATTCAGGAACTTACTATTTCCGGTCCATTTTAAAAACAACATAAAGCACGATCGATTTCCGAATGGAGGTAGGTGCTTTTGTAAGTGCGAGCGAAAAAAAGCTGTTTCCATCGCGAAATTGATTTCATGTTTTATATGCTGTACTTCCCTAGATCCATAGTTCTGACCGGTCTCGTTATTACAAGTTTTGGTTTCAAATTGATCTCGGGGTCCAGGCCCCCAAATTTGGCTCTGATATTCGGACGGAATAAACTGAAATCAGCCTAATTACATTTCTCGTTCCTAATTTCCTCTCAAGTTTTATCTCCTAAACTTTGAGCCAAAAAATTTAAGACTTGCACGTTTCCTCCGGTTCGTGATGAAGAATATTCTTTAACAAAATTTCAAGTTAGAATGATGATTTCTTTTGTGCTGAGAAAATGAAACGCGAAAATGTACTGCATTTTGGATCATGGAACTACAATATCTGGCTCATGCGTCAAAACATCTATCTGCATGGAAAAACTAATGGCACGTATGTTGTTTCTGAAATGAGCCAGAAATTGTAGTTCCTAATGTAGCAAACCATGAATTTTCTGATGTAGCCAGGCTGATTCCGGAAAATCCACCCATCTGGGCTTCATTTCGCAATTCGGAACAACAATTTCTGGCTCATCTGTAAAAATACATGGGAACCGATGGCACATACGTCATTTCTAAACTGAGCCAATGCTTTTAATTCGAATTGCAAAATGTAGTCCATTTAGTCTCTTGATTCCGCGTAACCTATATGAAGAAGATGAAGACGAAGAAAAAAGAAGAAACATAAAACTAAAACTAAAACTAAAAAAAAGAAAAAAAAAGAAAAAAAAAAAGAAAAAAAAATGTCCCATTGTTCTCCAAGTTTTTCTCGGCGACACTTCACCAAAACGGCTCACAGGCTTCATAGGGCTGAGGTGGCAAAAAATTTTCATTTTTACTTCTTAAGTGAATCGCCCCGATTAAATCATAAATCAGTTGACTCATGCTGTTGAGATTCGAAAGACACGAAGCGCTAGTTCCGAACCGATGAAATGAATTTTGAGAGAGATATTGATGACCAAAGTGCGAAACCACGTACCTCCGTTTGGGGCGATGCAGACTTTCTGTCAGACATTTTTTGTTTTAAAAACTAGTTGACGCGATTCCTTGAAAATGTCCTCTAGTACCAGAATATATTATGTTTAAAGTTTAAACCATAGTATTAAGATGGCTCATTTCTCCTCGGAAAAATAATGCAAGAGCGGACGTTCTGCAACACCGCAATGGAGATACGTGGTTCCACACTTTAGCCATCAATATCAGGATCAGACGCCACGCCTCAGCGGGGCGATTATTGAAATGATCGCCGCTTTGTCGTGTCGCGCCATCGGCTGAGTGGCTTTCAGTTAACGCGACACAACGATCTAGAAAATGTAGCTAGGCAGGGGGTTCCTGTGGTACGCAAACAGTGAAATTCGTAACACACCAGGAGCAACAATTAGGTTAGGATGAAGATAGTCGGTTTCTATGGCTCTATGGCTCCTTATGGGACTGTTGCTGAATACGGACTTGCATCAAATTTAGAACCAACTATTCGGGTTTCAGGACATTTTGTCATAACTATTTTTTGTCCGCGCACCTTTTTCGTCCAGTAGTTTACGACCACACGTAAAATAAGCAACAGTGACTTGGTCCAAGCGTTATATTTTAGTCGGTGTGTAAAATTATATTGACAATATGGAAATGAGAAATTGAGAGAGAAGGAGGTGTTGTTATGGTTGCTCATTTTCTAAATGAAATGTTATTACTTTCTCCTTTTGAATCATCTTTTTAAATTGTCATTGGTGAATATTTGGTTTTATTTCTATCCTTAAAATATTCGATGTACAATATCTTTATATATGTATGGGTACTTTTTTTTTTATTTTTTTAATTTTTTCTTTTCGAAATTATTACTTCATTTTGAAAACATTTATATTTTTAAAACGTGGCAAATATTTGTAAAACCTTTTCCAAGCGACATTAATCTCAATGAGCCGCAGTTGTGACAGAAACTGCAAAAATGAATGAAAGAGGAAAAAAAAACCAAGAAGCACGCAATCTTTAGTTTTAACCCATTTGTACATCGATCTTTTAGAGTCAAATACGTCAAATTTTGAGCGTTTCGTTGCGCGTACACCTCGCTGCAGCACAATAAAAGCACAAAATGTAAAAGAAAAAATTAAAGTGATTTGGAAATCATTAAATTTGACACGGAACCACCAATCTTCAAAAAACACACATTATATTATTATTCTCCTTTNATTAATCTCAATGAGCCGCAGTTGTGACAGAAACTGCAAAAATGAATGAAAGAAAAAAAAAACCAAGAAGCACGCAATCCTTAGTTTTAACCCATTTGTACATCGATCTTTTAGAGTCAAATACGTCAAATTTTTAGCGTTTGGTTGCTCGTACACCTCGCTGCAGCACAATAAAAGCACAAAATGTAAAAGAAAAAATTAAAGTGATTTGGAAATCATTAAATTTGACACGGAACCACCAATCTTCAAAAAACACACATTATATTATTATTCTCCTTTGATAAATTGATACATATTTTTTCCCCATCAATTCAAATGAGAATAATCATTGCAGAGTGTGCAAACATTTCAAAATCATGAGTTAAAAAACGCTGAATATGCGAGTATAAATATTAAAGCCTAACAGAGCGGAGCGGCGCGGCGCGGCGTGCTGTCAGCGCGAGAGGCTCACTGGTGCCTACAAACCTAAGTGGATACTTCTCGCATTGCACAATGCTTGAAGTATCCACTTAGGTTTGTAGGCGCCAATGCGTGTTTTGCGCTGACCGCACGCCGCGCCGCGCCGCTCCGCTCTGTTAGGCTTTAATATTTATACTCGCGTATTCAGCGTTTTTTAACTCATGATTTTGAAATGTTTGCACACTCTGCAATGATTATTCTCATTTGAATTGATGGGGAAAAAATATGTATCAATTTATCAAAGGAGAATAATAATATAATGTGTGTTTTTTAAAGATTGGTGGTTCCGTGTCATGGTTATCGTCCTACGGTATCGTCAACTGTATACGCATACATCCTTTGAACATAAATATTCGCAGCTAAGCGTCTGAAAAGAATTACGAAAACTAAAGCGCCTGCAACTTTGCGTGCAAGCAACAGACACATCTTTCGCGTACGAGTAGTTGCATTCAGGCTGAGCCATGAACAAAGTTGCAGTGCCCTCAGATTTTGTACATTTGTTAACTAGCTAACTGAAGCCGTTCAAACGATCGGTTTCTACTTCTCTTGTGTCATTCTTCGTGGGTTAAAACTTAGATGAACATGATTTTTTTTTCTTTATCGCTTTCTCCTCTTTCGACTCTTGCACGATTTCGTAATTAATGAACTCTATAATTTTTTCAGGGCCTCAATTAATATTAAGTGTGTTTGGTTTGGATTCGTTTGGTAATGATACCATCCAAGGTTACGGAGTTTGTCACATTCCAATCAGTACTGGCAATCATTCAAAGAGGTAACAAATTATGGTTTTAATACTTATTTTTTTTAGGTATCTTTTAGTTCCAGAAAAATCTTGTGGTTGATGCCCTTTTTTTGTTTATTTTTTTCCTTGGTACATAATGTAGCAACATCAACATCACTGGCTGTGCTTTAAATCTGTTTCTTTTGATATGCTGCGTATTTTGCCGGGTCAGACGAAATTTGGTGGTATCTCTTTTTCGGCTTTCCCCCTGCCTCCAAAAATATTGCAACGATGTGTGCTCAAAATCAAAATTACTAATAGTCAGGGTCGGATTTACCTACTTTCCGCCCTTTGGCCGCCTGTATTTTGCCGCTCCCTTCTCATTCGTTTTGGAATATCAATAAAAACCATCAAGTTAACGTGCCGGAGAGAAAGCTAGGGGTGCATAAGACGCGTTTACTCGTGTTGGACACATTTTTTGCGTAAGCCCTGTCAACACTTCTAGCAAAAGTTGACGGAACTTTGCGCGAAAGTTAAGTTCCGTAAATCTATCTCTGTGTGGACAAGGCCCTCCATTTATAAGAAATGAACGAAAAAATTATGAAAGAACAAACATAAATGTGCGCGGTTTAATAATTTTAACTTCCGCCGCCGCGCCGCCGCTCTGACCGCACTGGGTTTGGCGCAATGCGTGAAGTATTCCTACAGTCTTGTAGGCACTATACGTTTCACACCGACGACCGCTGCTGAGCGCACTGTTTTTGACGCAATACGTGAAGTCTTCATGCGGTCTTGTAGGCGCTAATATGTGTTACATGGCGACCGCTGCGCCGAGGGTTTCTCCTTTTCATCTCAAGTCCTCAGAGGGTTTCTCATCAATGCTCTCTGCGCCGCATCGCTCCAGGCCAAATCGCGTATTTGGTCTCTCTGCTAACTCAACCAATTAAAGGTGCTGTCTCTTGTATCACCGAAAGACTACAAAATTAAAAATTACTACACTCTCAGGAAATGAGAGATTTTGCAGCCTTTTCTCGTTTGTAATTTTTTTCTGAATCTGATTTTTTTTATACTTACAAATAATAAAAATGCAAAATTTGCCACCCCCTAAATTGGGCCGCGGCCCATGTGGCCACCCCCTGAATCCGGCCTTGTCAATACTGCACTCAGAAAAAGGAAAGTATATCGATGGTTAAAGTGCAAAGCCACGTATCTCCATTCCGATGATTTAGCATTGTCGCTTCTATTTTATTTTATTAAAGTACGACAAGCCAACTTTATAGATTGAAATATATACAGAATACTCTGCCAACAGAGAAGAAAAATCGATGAAGTTTTCAAGAAATCGCACGTCGCCGGTTTCCGGAGAAAAAATAAAGCTCGACAAGAAGTCTTTAACGTCGTAAACGGAGATCCGTGGTTTCGCACTTGGTCATCGATATTTATACCTATCTCTTTACATGCAAATGGTCAAGAAGTCGTATCTCCGTTCGTATCTCCGTTACACGGCTTGGAAAAAATTCATAATTCCTCTTAAAAATAAATTGCCCATCAACAAATAGATCGATTTACTCCGATTTTAAAACTAAAAAAAGAAAAAATCATCCTGCAACCTTGCATCATGTTTAATATAATATTGGCAAAACTACAGAAATGCGTACCCCGGTTTGCAAAGCTGCAGACTTCCTGTCAAATTAGATTTTTTGAAATGGTGTGAAGAATATCAGTGGCGAGGCGTGCATGATCGATTATCGATATCCCCCCATTTGAAGCTATGGTGAAACATCGATTATTACAGTGTTCGTTGCGAACACCTCATTCATCGATCCTTTTCCATAGGGTCAAATGACACACCGATAAACCGAATATGAAACCCCGCAAACGAAGTACCTGCGCGTTTTGGTAATTTCACAATCAATCTTAGGTTCTTGAATATTGGCAACACTGTTGTTGCTCCATTTAAATGTATGTAAAAGAATCGACTTTTAGTGTGGCAGTATGCCCCACCTATATCGAGAGTTTTAACGGATTTGAATAGAGAAGAAACAATGTTGCCAACTTGTAAAACCACCACTGCAATCAATGAAATATTAAACATTCTTAAAAATTTAGCACGCACATACTTACACATAAATACAAAAAACAACATCACAAAAAAAAATTCCAATTTTGCCTCCAGCGTTGCAATGTATGTTCCGGAATCAAGTTCACTCCTACAGAAATTGACGTCTTGGCTTACCGGACGAAGGCCAGAATTTATCGATCCAAAAGTTATAGGTCAAGGTGCCGGTAGAGAAGGTAAGTGAATGGCAGATTTTTGTCTTGAGTATTCTAAAATCTTTTCTCATTGATAGATTTGGAGCTAGTGAGGGTAAGCACAGGGTTTAATTTTTTTCTAGAGATCTTATAAGACATTGAAAAGACATGCTCTTAAATTGAATTAATGGTAATCATACCTAACATTAATTTTTTGTTAGTGTCATTCAAGAATCTTAAGGATTCATCTCGATATCGGATGAGTCAACTCACAAAAGTGGTAACTCGAGAAAAGATGAATATTGTTTATGGGAAAATTTACCTCTTTTAATCAGGGATTTTTAATTGCCATTAGAAAACATCGGCTATAACGTAGGGGCGCAAAATGTTTAAGAATTCTAAAATGTAAGCACGGACACATTGGAAACTCCATCTCGTCGAGGGGGGGGGGGGGGGGGGTTGTGCCCCAGACATCTTCTCACGATAGCACCTAACTTTTTAGGGGCGCCAAACAAAGTTCAGCCCGGGGGCGCTAAAACTGTAAATCCGGCCCTGATTTTAGCCCAGGCAATCGAGGATAGAATAGGGGTTTACCTTGCAAAATTTAGGTGAAATCAGGTTATGATTGAATCCTATGTAATTTTTTACGCTGAATCCAAATTTTTGGTTTCCCAGCAAATCTTCCTCGTGACAACTCCGGAAAATCGGAAAAACCGCGAAAAATCACGTTTTTCCGGAGTTAGCACACGGAAAATTTGTTGGGAAACCAAAAATTCGGATTCAGCGTAAAAAATTACATAGGAATCAATCATAACCTGATTTCACCTAAATTTTGCAAGGTAAAATCCTTTATTGCCTGGACTATTTGTAGGTATGAGAAGCCTAGTTTTACGGAAATAATAATTTGCGGGTGAGATAAAATAGCAATTATAGATTCAATTCTTTGATAACCCAGTACCTAGACGAATTTATACGCCTACGTCTCAAAATTAAATCCATTGTGTATAAGACAAAAGGTACGATTTTTCCCTCTTGCTGTGGGCTATTAACTACCTAGGAAAGTTTCGCAGACGTGTGATAAGCCGTCATTCTACTAAGATTTTATTTGCTCTTTGTTTTACAGTTACCAGAGTCCGGAGTCAAGGGAGAGTCATTTTAGATTTAAACGTTTTAACAAAGGATTTCGGACTGCATGGATACGACAACGTTCAAAGGTCTGCTATATCAGGGTCCGAGAGAGGTCATTTTAGTCGTGTTTAAGCCATCTTCGACTTGTGTAGAGGGTATTGGCTTCCGGCAAAAACATTGAATACCTCTTGGAGACCGACTCCATAAATTCCTTCACTAGGTACCGCACTGACTCAACCGTTGCTTTCGCGGGTTTTTCTTCTAAGTGCCCACAATTCAAATTATTCCTGGAAAGTTCCAAGTGCATAATGAAGATATTTTAGCAAAAAACAGCTCTTCAGTTTTGGGTCCTTTATCATTAACAGTTGGTTAAGTTTCAGTGAAATAAAAATGAACTTCTTCTTTTTTCAGTTTTTTTGAGTTGATAATAATTTTAAAGAGTTGATACAACCATAAAAGTGTTGAAAGGACTCGTTTTAGGATTAAGGTGACCCAGAGATGAGTAACGCCACAATCGTGGTTGCATTAACTCCGAAAAGTATTATCAACTCAAAAAAACTGAAGACTGGAAAAATGGACATTAGCGGTTTTCGCACGTCCCGATTCAAATATGCCATTCACCGGTGGAGTTTTTTTTTTTGTCTCATGGAGATAAAAAATCTATTCGCAGATACCAGACTTTAACCAGTTCACGCTGATCTCATGGAGGTTTCGTATACCTCACAAGAGGCAGTTCGGCCTATAAGCTGATCCAGACACCTTGAAAGGGGGGGAGGGGGCTGTGTAAGGCATAGAACTCTCCCACACAAGCTTTGGCTTTTGGGGGTTGATTTACTTTATGTGAAAACCATAAATATAAATTCTCGAATGAATGAATAAATATGCAAATAGATAATGGAGGTCCGGGAGCCTCATTTCTGAATTGAAGCAACTAATATGCAGCTTGAGTCAATTTCGTCATGAATAAGTACCAAATGTAAGCGTCTTTTCTCCGTTCCTTCCTTCTTTCTTTCTTCTCCTTTTCTTTCTCTTTTTTTTTCGGGTGGACGGGAGCCGCCCATATGTAATGTGAGTTTGGCCAAAAAAATAGAAAATATATTATAAGATGGATGATACGAGGTAGTTATTTCCCTAAGAAAACAAATGAAAAATTTAAAAAAAAAAAAAAAAAAAAAAAAATTATCATATTTGAGCACAGCTCATCTAAGTTTACTGGGTTAACCTACTGGTTTACCTCCCTGATGGGCTTGTCCTGACTAAAAATTAACTCCACGACATTACACCGCAGAATCACTCGAGGGCAATAACATCGGCTGTGTGTCGAATGATATGCCATTCAAACCTATGGGAATAGATCGATTACCAGGGCGTCCACAACGAGTGCCATAATAATCGATTTTTGACCATAGTTTCAAACGGGATACCATCATTAGCACGCCTCGCCTCTAGACACTGGTGAAGCTGTGACCTAAAAGTTAATACGCCCATTTATTCTGTGATTCAAGTATTACATAGTATATAACCAAAAAATTGAATGTAAATTATTTTTCTCGCAGTAGTTTATGTAATTACGAGTATATTTTATTTTACCCTCCTGTTCTCAATCACTATTGAATAGTAGTATTTGGGTCGTAAAATCTTGTTGGATGATTATATAGTTGAATATTATCCTTAAAAATCCTTAAAAACCTATCCTTAGTATTATCAATGCAGAGTGTGCAAACATTTCAAAATCATGAATTAAAAAACGCTGACTATGCGAGTATAAATATTAAAGCCTAACAGAGCGGAGCGGCGTGCTGCCAGGGCGAGAGGCTCACTGGCGCCTACAGACCTAAGTGGATACTTCACGCATTGCACAATGCTTGAAGTATCCACTTAGGTTTGCAGGCGTCAATGCGCGTTTCGCGCTGGCCGCCCGCCAGCCGTGCGGCGGCGCCTGAAGCAACTATTTCACAACAGAGGTGTTGCGAAGTATTATACGAAATTGAACGTATCAATAATGACACCACATCTTCCTTTTACTTTATTTTTACCTACATTATTTGATG